ATAGAGTGTTATATTGATCAGTCTGATCACGGAAACCAAAAACAGTTCTAACGAAAATCATCATCATCATCATCATCATCATCATCATCATCATCATCATCATCATCATCATCATCATCTCTTTTCCGGTCGAATATTGGATCAGTTTGAGAAATCGTAGTATCATTAACCGTCTTGTACAATTCAATGTTTATTGATTGTCTTAATAGTATGTAATTTTGATGCTATCAGGAATTTTCCATGGTCAACATTTACTTAGGTTTATAATGATAGAGCTTCTCAGTGTCTTACTTTGTGTCATTTCAGAATTCGTTGGAACAAATGAAACCACATTGATTACGGAAACACCTGACACCGGTTAGTCAATTTTTGATTAAACGAAATATTTTGTAGACTGAATAATGAAAAGAACCATTAGGGTCGGATCAGCTACCGAATCTTAACATTAATACCTTATATACAGATTATACGATCCAATGTAACGCACATTTTTTTCTTGGTCCTCTACGATTTGTGTTTTTGTAAAGCTTTTTTAAGCAGACGAATGCAGAAAGAACAGATATATTTCTCTCTTCATCTTTAGTCTATCTAACCCTTTGTTATGTTAGATATCGTTTCTTTTTATTGTTAGGTTGATTGATTTTAGACAAATTTAACACTCCCCACTAATATTTTAAAAATATATGAATTTCCATGGAACATGCTACTAAAGAATTTGTGATTATCTTAACACTAACGGATTAATCTGGCCAATACGATTACCTTGTCCATAACCGTCAGTGATTTTCTAATATGTGTTAACCAGATATGTCTCACCTTAATACCATACCGCAAGAATATTTATTTGACAAAAATGAATAGTAAAACGATCGAAATAATCTATTAATTATGATAATCAAAATGTACGCATGAATGAATGCTTCAGTTCAAAATCAAGAGGAAGATGAAGAGCGAATTTCTGGCAGCAGAAGGTTGACGAGGTCGAAGAAAAGAGAACGAGAACAGTGAATGATTGCTGCGAAAATGAAGAAACAGTCGTGTTTCAGACAATTGATCAACATGTAGCAAATAGTGTATTTCAGATTTTTAGTAACATCTCACGTAATTTTGTGTTCAAATACATTCGATTATCTCCAGTTATGAAGCACTTACATTTATCATCATAAAATATGCAGGAAATAAATAATTAAATAAATAAATAGATATCACAGTATGTTCATAGAGTGTTATATTGATCAGTCTGATCACGGAAACCAAAAACAGTTCTAACGAAAATCATCATCATCATCATCATCATCATCATCATCATCATCATCATCATCATCATCATCATCATCATCATCTCTTTTCCGGTCGAATATTGGATCAGTTTGAGAAATCGTAGTATCATTAACCGTCTTGTACAATTCAATGTTTATTGATTGTCTTAATAGTATGTAATTTTGATGCTATCAGGAATTTTCCATGGTCAACATTTACTTAGGTTTATAATGATAGAGCTTCTCAGTGTCTTACTTTGTGTCATTTCAGAATTCGTTGGAACAAATGAAACCACATTGATTACGGAAACACCTGACACCGGTTAGTCAATTTTTGATTAAACGAAATATTTTGTAGACTGAATAATGAAAAGAACCATTAGGGTCGGATCAGCTACCGAATCTTAACATTAATACCTTATATACAGATTATACGATCCAATGTAACGCACATTTTTTTCTTGGTCCTCTACGATTTGTGTTTTTGTAAAGCTTTTTTAAGCAGACGAATGCAGAAAGAACAGATATATTTCTCTCTTCATCTTTAGTCTATCTAACCCTTTGTTATGTTAGATATCGTTTCTTTTTATTGTTAGGTTGATTGATTTTAGACAAATTTAACACTCCCCACTAATATTTTAAAAATATATGAATTTCCATGGAACATGCTACTAAAGAATTTGTGATTATCTTAACACTAACGGATTAATCTGGCCAATACGATTATCTTGTCCATAACCGTCAGTGATTTTCTAATATGTGTTAACCAGATTTGTCTCACTTTAATACCATACCGCAAGAATATTCATTTGACAAAAATGAATAGTAAAACGATCGAAATAATCTATTAATTATGATAATCAAAATGTACGCATGAATGAATGCTTCAGTTCAAAATCAAGAGGAAGATGAAGAGCGAATTTCTGGCAGCAGAAGGTTGACGAGGTCGAAGAAAAGAGAACGAGAACAGTGAATGATTGCTGCGAAAATGAAGAAACAGTCGAGTTTCAGACAATTGATCAACATATAGCAAATAGTGTATTTCAGATTTTTAGTAACATCTCACGTAATTTTGTGTTCAAATACATTCGATTATCTCCAGTTATGAAGCACTTACATTTATCATCATAAAATATGCAGGAAATAAATAATTAAATAAATAAATAGATATCACAGTATGTTCATAGAGTGTTATATTGATCAGTCTGATCACGGAAACCAAAAACAGTTCTAACGAAAATCATCATCATCATCATCATCTCTTTTCCGGTCGAATATTGGATCAGTTTGAGAAATCGTAGTATCATTAACCGTCTTGTACAATTCAATGTTTATTGATTGTCTTAATAGTATGTAATTTTGATGCTATGAGGAATTTTCCATGGTCAACATTTACTTAGGTTTATAATGATAGAGCTTCTCAGTGTCTTACTTTGTGTCATTTCAGAATTCGTTGGAACAAATGAAACCACATTGATTACGGAAACACCTGACACCGGTTAGTCAATTTTTGATTAAACGAAATATTTTGTAGACTGAATAATGAAAAGAACCATTAGGGTCGGATCAGCTACCGAATCTTAACATTAATACCTTATATACAGATTATACGATCCAATGTAACGCACATTTTTTTCTTGGTCCTCTACGATTTGTGTTTTTGTAAAGCTTTTTTAAGCAGACGAATGCAGAAAGAACAGATATATTTCTCTCTTCATCTTTAGTCTATCTAACCCTTTGTTATGTTAGATATCGTTTCTTTTTATTGTTAGGTTGATTGATTTTAGACAAATTTAACACTCCCCACTAATATTTTAAAAATATATGAATTTCCATGGAACATGCTACTAAAGAATTTGTGATTATCTTAACACTAACGGATTAATCTGGCCAATACGATTATCTTGTCCATAACCGTCAGTGATTTTCTAATATGTGTTAACCAGATATGTCTCACCTTAATACCATACCGCAAGAATATTTATTTGACAAAAATGAATAGTAAAACGATCGAAATAATCTATTAATTATGATAATCAAAATGTACGCATGAATGAATGCTTCAGTTCAAAATCAAGAGGAAGATGAAGAGCGAATTTCTGGCAGCAGAAGGTTGACGAGGTCGAAGAAAAGAGAACGAGAACAGTGAATGATTGCTGCGAAAATGAAGAAACAGTCGAGTTTCAGACAATTGATCAACATGTAGCAAATAGTGTATTTCAGATTTTTAGTAACATCTCACGTAATTTTGTGTTCAAATACATTCGATTATCTCCAGTTATGAAGCACTTACATTTATCATCATAAAATATGCAGGAAATAAATAATTAAATAAATAAATAGATATCACAGTATGTTCATAGAGTGTTATATTGATCAGTCTGATCACGGAAACCAAAAACAGTTCTAACGAAAATCATCATCATCATCATCATCTCTTTTCCGGTCGAATATTGGATCAGTTTGAGAAATCGTAGTATCATTAACCGTCTTGTACAATTCAATGTTTATTGATTGTCTTAATAGTATGTAATTTTGATGCTATCAGGAATTTTCCATGGTCAACATTTACTTAGGTTTATAATGATAGAGCTTCTCAGTGTCTTACTTTGTGTCATTTCAGAATTCGTTGGAACAAATGAAACCACATTGATTACGGAAACACCTGACACCGGTTAGTCAATTTTTGATTAAACGAAATATTTTGTAGACTGAATAATGAAAAGAACCATTAGGGTCGGATCAGCTACCGAATCTTAACATTAATACCTTATATACAGATTATACGATCCAATGTAACGCACATTTTTTTCTTGGTCCTCTACGATTTGTGTTTTTGTAAAGCTTTTTTAAGCAGATGAATGCAGAAAGAACAGATATATTTCTCTCTTCATCTTTAGTCTATCTAACCCTTTGTTATGTTAGATATCGTTTCTTTTTATTGTTAGGTTGATTGATTTTAGACAAATTTAACACTCCCCACTAATATTTTAAAAATATATGAATTTCCATGGAACATGCTACTAAAGAATTTGTGATTATCTTAACACTAACGGATTAATCTGGCCAATACGATTATCTTGTCCATAACCGTCAGTGATTTTCTAATATGTGTTAACCAGATTTGTCTCACTTTAATACCATACCGCAAGAATATTCATTTGACAAAAATGAATAGTAAAACGATCGAAATAATCTATTAATTATGATAATCAAAATGTACGCATGAATGAATGCTTCAGTTCAAAATCAAGAGGAAGATGAAGAGCGAATTTCTGGCAGCAGAAGGTTGACGAGGTCGAAGAAAAGAGAACGAGAACAGTGAATGATTGCTGCGAAAATGAAGAAACAGTCGAGTTTCAGACAATTGATCAACATATAGCAAATAGTGTATTTCAGATTTTTAGTAACATCTCACGTAATTTTGTGTTCAAATACATTCGATTATCTCCAGTTATGAAGCACTTACATTTATCATCATAAAATATGCAGGAAATAAATAATTAAATAAATAAATAGATATCACAGTATGTTCATAGAGTGTTATATTGATCAGTCTGATCACGGAAACCAAAAACAGTTCTAACGAAAATCATCATCATCATCATCATCATCATCATCATCATCATCATCATCATCTCTTTTCCGGTCGAATATTGGATCAGTTTGAGAAATCGTAGTATCATTAACCGTCTTGTGCAATTCAATGTTTATTGATTGTCTTAATAGTATGTAATTTTGATGCTATCAGGAATTTTCCATGGTCAACATTTACTTAGGTTTATAATGATAGAGCTTCTCAGTGTCTTACTTTGTGTCATTTCAGAATTCGTTGGAACAAATGAAACCACATTGATTACGGAAACACCTGACACCGGTTAGTCAATTTTTGATTAAACGAAATATTTTGTAGACTGAATAATGAAAAGAACCATTAGGGTCGGATCAGCTACCGAATCTTAACATTAATACCTTATATACAGATTATACGATCCAATGTAACGCACATTTTTTTCTTGGTCCTCTACGATTTGTGTTTTTGTAAAGCTTTTTTAAGCAGACGAATGCAGAAAGAACAGATATATTTCTCTCTTCATCTTTAGTCTATCTAACCCTTTGTTATGTTAGATATCGTTTCTTTTTATTGTTAGGTTGATTGATTTTAGACAAATTTAACACTCCCCACTAATATTTTAAAAATATATGAATTTCCATGGAACATGCTACTAAAGAATTTGTGATTATCTTAACACTAACGGATTAATCTGGCCAATACGATTACCTTGTCCATAACCGTCAGTGATTTTCTAATATGTGTTAACCAGATATGTCTCACCTTAATACCATACCGCAAGAATATTTATTTGACAAAAATGAATAGTAAAACGATCGAAATAATCTATTAATTATGATAATCAAAATGTACGCATGAATGAATGCTTCAGTTCAAAATCAAGAGGAAGATGAAGAGCGAATTTCTGGCAGCAGAAGGTTGACGAGGTCGAAGAAAAGAGAACGAGAACAGTGAATGATTGCTGCGAAAATGAAGAAACAGTCGAGTTTCAGACAATTGATCAACATGTAGCAAATAGTGTATTTCAGATTTTTAGTAACATCTCACGTAATTTTGTGTTCAAATACATTCGATTATCTCCAGTTATGAAGCACTTACATTTATCATCATAAAATATGCAGGAAATAAATAATTAAATAAATAAATAGATATCACAGTATGTTCATAGAGTGTTATATTGATCAGTCTGATCACGGAAACCAAAAACAGTTCTAACGAAAATCATCATCATCATCATCATCTCTTTTCCGGTCGAATATTGGATCAGTTTGAGAAATCGTAGTATCATTAACCGTCTTGTACAATTCAATGTTTATTGATTGTCTTAATAGTATGTAATTTTGATGCTATCAGGAATTTTCCATGGTCAACATTTACTTAGGTTTATAATGATAGAGCTTCTCAGTGTCTTACTTTGTGTCATTTCAGAATTCGTTGGAACAAATGAAACCACATTGATTACGGAAACACCTGACACCGGTTAGTCAATTTTTGATTAAACGAAATATTTTGTAGACTGAATAATGAAAAGAACCATTAGGGTCGGATCAGCTACCGAATCTTAACATTAATACCTTATATACAGATTATACGATCCAATGTAACGCACATTTTTTTCTTGGTCCTCTACGATTTGTGTTTTTGTAAAGCTTTTTTAAGCAGACGAATGCAGAAAGAACAGATATATTTCTCTCTTCATCTTTAGTCTATCTAACCCTTTGTTATGTTAGATATCGTTTCTTTTTATTGTTAGGTTGATTGATTTTAGACAAATTTAACACTCCCCACTAATATTTTAAAAATATATGAATTTCCATGGAACATGCTACTAAAGAATTTGTGATTATCTTAACACTAACGGATTAATCTGGCCAATACGATTATCTTGTCCATAACCGTCAGTGATTTTCTAATATGTGTTAACCAGATATGTCTCAACTTAATACCATACCGCAAGAATATTTATTTGACAAAAATGAATAGTAAAACGATCGAAATAATCTATTAATTATGATAATCAAAATGTACGCAGGAATGAATGCTTTAGTTCAAAATTAAGGGGAAGATGAAGGGTGAATATAGATTTGACATTGTCACCATTTCTGAATCTTATCACATCAAAATATCCAAACGTCTGTTCAACAAGCATTTAAATTGAAGTCTCTTAGAATAGTAATTAACCTCATAAGCTGTATTTCTTTGAATTCCTCCTATGTCATAATAAGCATCACCTTTTCCATTAAGCCACTTTGTTGTAGGTGGATTAATTCGTAGCATAATTCCACCTTCCCAACGGAGATATCCGAGGATGGAAAATAAAGCGATTAAATAAATTCGAGCGATGCCATAAGCTGTAAAAATAGATCAACGTGAAAGTTATCTCCTGAATGAATCAGTCTCACTAATTTATAATAACATCCCATTGTAATAAAAAACTCGTTTCTTCTTCCCCACAACAGTAATGGTCAAATGTTTAAAGCAGCTAACATACACTTAATCGTTCTGAAATTGTCTGTCTTATGTATTCCTCAAATCCTCGTTTCAGTAGTTAGTTTTATTACTTACACATTTTTATGTAGCAACAAACACATTGGAAGAGACTATTCAGAATAATGCCGATAACTCACTTTTCTCGAATCATTGTACTGATTTTTACGAAACTGCATGTGGAGAGTGGGAAAAACAGAACCCTTTGTCGGGTGATAGTGCTAGTTCAAGCGTTATGCAACAGATGGGAATGAACGTTGATTACTACTTCTGGAAGATAATTGGTAAGTCATAGTAAAATAATGTTATCATAATATAATTTTTACTGATTTCGATATTACAAATATTTCCCTAAAATTAAAATTTCATATAAAGAGTATCGAATTGTTTAGAGTAAAAGCTTAAATTTTGTACTGAATCCATGCAAGTAGGCAGACAGCCATGCTTCAACCAAACCGAAGGATCTGTAAACTAACTGAAACAAAGTTTCAGTCACTTAAAATAAATTTTGTTTTGAAAAAGGTCCACCTATTTATTTCCCTTTACTGAATGCGATACACGAACAAATAATGATACTGCATTATTTCCTGAAATAGCGTCTAACACTTTCAGTACAGTATCACAAAGATTGTCTTCTTCACTAACTGTTCACGTAGAAATGTTGTCTTACTCTCAGCGTTAATGAAATTGTTTTCAAGAAGTTACAATGTAACTTCTAGTTAAAAGCAAGTGATATGTGTGCTTTTGGAGTTAGGTCTAATCGTATATTTATCTAAAAGTTCAGAAGCCAGGCCACATTCCATTTGACACTTATCAGCGAAGTATATTTAGGATCTATTTCAAAATAATGATCTACATGAGATAAAAAAACTTTGGACCACGTTAGATAGTAAGCGACATCACTCTGAATCTATTCGGATGAAGTATGGCCTTTAGTAAGACTAAGATATGAATAATATTGGGCCGCATTGTTTTACATAATAATATCCAGCTTTTGTCACAAAAGCTGACTTATAATTCTGCTAAGATGAAATGTGGTAACCAGTACAAATGACTCTACGTCGAATTCCTTGAAGTACATCTGTTCTTCAAGGTTGGATTCACCCAATGTTGGTGAATAACTGTAATCTTCCTCCATTTACCTAACATCAGAATTCCATAGTCTCTTTTGAGTTTCAAATTTACAATTATTTATTGAACGAATTCGTTAAGATTACGGTCATTTGACTAAGACCAAACATATTAAATACCTTAAGAATGGTTATAAGAGGATAAACAGCTCCGAGTATTTATGTCTCAAAATAATTCCTTCGTTCGCTTGGATCAAATATTCTTTATTTATTCTCTATAATTTAATGTCAATAATTGACAATGCTTTCAAGCTAACGATTCATACTATAAAGAAGATTGGCGCTTACAATCAGCTCGAGCATTTTACAAATCTTGCGTAAATAGTCGAAATTCAAACACAACGCGTGAAAGTCGTCATCACTTGATAGATATGTATTTTGGCGGATGGCAACTAATACCATCACTTTCGACGGAGATAAATAATACGAATGGGCGAAATCAAAGTCAAATGAATAACAATCTTACCGATCTATTTCTACCAATATTAACACAAACTGGACGTTCACCTTTATTTTCAATGAACATCGCAGAGGATATTTTTGCCGTCATAGTAAGAACTTCAATTACATATCCTATATCAAACTTCTTTGATTATATTGATTGTTTTTGAATCTATTAAAATCATTGTTAATGCACATTAGAACTTGACATTGAAAGTCTTATATCAAATAAATTTACTGTGCTCAATTTATAGTAAACTAAAAATGATTGACCACTTCTAGTTATGACCTATAACTTAAACCAGAGTAAGAACGATGTGTATACACGTGTATCATCAACGATGTACATACGTGAATAAAAAAATGTATTTATACTTTGATAAGAAATTCTGAAAATTCAAATACCTTTTTGAACACAACGACGACTAAATATATGATCTACTGCATTACTAAGGAAAATCATTCCATTGATGTTTACTACTAAAAACTAAAATATAACTGTGACGACAGATTAACCCATTTCGGTTACACTTAACGAAGACTACGTAAGTCATATGTGTAGAATTAAGCCATAACACATCATACTACTTTAAATGCTTTTTTATTGTTGTTTGACCTTTCATGTGCCATATAAACTGGTCATAGTGAATAAAAGAATTTTGATAAACCGCTCGCATAACCATTAAAAATTGACTGTTATCATTTAAGAAAACTTCGACTTCTGAGTAATCAAGGATACTGAACCACTCATGTTAAAGATGGTTCCATCTCGTAACACGGTACATAACTTAAAGCACTATCAAGTAACATTCGCTTGGTATTGTTTAATTCAAACTTCTCATTGGGGTTTACGACTGCGATTGGTCAGTCTCTTATTGGCATATGTGCATACTGTGCGTATCGCCTCAAAACTCCCTTAATTCACAAGCATTCTAGACAATGATAGGTGGTGGCTAGCAGTAGAATAAAGGACGCGCTCTTCGTCCTACTTGGGACTCGTCAGCTAGATATACTTGGATCTGAGAGTGGAGACTGATTAATTGCAGTCCTAAACATCAATGGGAAGATTCAAGCAAACAATACGGAGTGAATTCAAACTTCACTCCATTGCACAAACTTGTGGGTACCAGGAGTCAGTAACTAAATGGATCACTCGATGGCGTTTGAAGCGAACGATACAGTGTTCGTGTCTCAAAGTGAACATGAACTCTGAGATGCAATCATATTCAGCTGACGAGTTCCAGATAGGATGAAACGTGCGTCCTGGATTCCATTGCTAGCCACTATAGATCTTTACTAACAAGTAGAGTATGTAGACAAAATTTATACGCAACTATAGTAGGTTTGAATAAATTACGGTCAATGAGGCTAATGTTGACAATGTTCAGATTTTGTAAGGGCTGTTCTATTGCTTAAGAAAATTGACTATGGTTAGTTATTATTTTCGGTACGGTCACTTTAGAAACACATTGTCTCTGTTAGGCGAATCTTCACTTCGACATCGGTCTTCTGGAACACTGTCTAAAAACACACACTCCTTCAAATGCACCTTCAATGTGTGGTTTAGATATAACAATGAATTCTGGATATAAACTTATGGGTAAGTAAAGAGTTCCCTACTGGACCCTCTTCTAATGTGTCACTTCATGGTCAAGCTCAAGTGCATGATACTTATACAAAAGATACACTGATCACACGTGTATCATTTATAACAAAAATATCATCTCCATCATCATCCTGAACAAATTCAATATTCGTTATCGTCCAATTACATTTACGTTAAAAGCTAAGGTGGTTTTGAAATTTCGTTCCCTTTATTTTCTGTCAAAATGTCCGCAGACAGTCCATCACAAGGATTCAAACGCACTAAATAGAATGATCAATACTTGAATTTTGTATTTCAGTTTCACTGAATCGTTCAGTAATTAACCTCAAGGGCCAGGAGGATATACTTCAAAGACACAATAAAAGTAAATTACCTCAACCCAGACAAAAACGTATTAAGATTGATTGGCAGTCTAGGCTCACAAAAATCTGAAAGACCAATAATTGTTCAAAAAACTTTGTTCATTAGCGCTCTGTTTCATGGCGGAAGCTCTGAAAAAATCGAGTTACAAAATCCTAGAGAAAATCATTTTAAGCAACCAGGCTTTGCATCGTCTACAAACAGCTAGTCAGTCATGGAAGTGACAAAAATAGACTAACCCTTTGACATAACTCAACATGCGTTTGTAATTTTACTTGCTCTGACGGAGCAGGTTAAATTTGCTACACAAAAATCAATACTTTCTAAAAGTGTCTCAAAACATCATCCATTGTGTGTTGTTATGGGAAAATTGAAAACAATGGCAAACTAAAACAGATATAGCCCATCGGTTATGGTTACAATGTCCCACTTGGATGATCTTTCAAATCCATCTATACAGATATAAAAATGAAGGTCCCATTAAAAACTGCCTTACTCGTGAGTCTTCAGCAGTTTACACATTCATACCAAGAACAGCACATATAATCTAAAATACTTCTGTGGGTCTCCCACCGCTTCCAGCATATTTTCTATTATTAAACTTTACTTCTTTAATCAGTAGCCAGTAATAATGACCTTCGTACAACTTTCCAGAAATATTATTCCATTGTCATTATCACCTTGAAGGGTCTAAGTTTTCCTTCATGTCTATCAAGTTAACAATAATCTCTCTAATTTCCGACCTGAAAATAACTTTTATGTTCCTAATCTTCATTAACGCCTAGATCACCTAACCTTCCTTTGATACTTGATTTCACTGAGTACCTAAACATAATTTCTCTCTATAATTCTATAAACTCATTCATTTATTAAATCTCTATAAATGCCATTGTAAGGTTATGGCAAAGGATAACGTCAAGAAGAAATTTACACCACTGTGTTGTCTTTTTTTCACTTATGGAACTTAATTACGACCATTTTCTCACATAAAACACATAAATGGTTTTACTGTAATCCGCTTAGCAATTAAATTTCTAAATAACAATTTCAAATAGTCAATACACGTAATAAATCATTGTAAATCAATGTGTCATTCCATGAAAATGTCATGGTAATATTCATAGAAATAATATACTCTCAATATATCTCAGAAACAAGAAATTGTATCAAACTAAGCAAATATATTTCACATACATATTGTCGGTAAAAACAGGTTGAATAAAATTCAGATGGCTATTACATGATTTATGCAGTATGTACCTTGTTTAATTGTTTAACAAACCACTGAAATGTATTTTGTAATTCTAATCTCTCATCAGATTTCACCTGGTCAGTTCGCTTTTCGGACAGATTTACAGAAGGTAACGTTTGAATTTGTCTAGAACTTATTTATTTAATAGGTAATTCAATGAAAGCTTCTGACTTCTATCTCATTTTGACTTCAATAAAATGTCAGAAATGTCTTAAACATTGACGTGCAAACGTTTCATTCAGCCGAATGATTTTATTACCTCGTATTTACTTAAATCATTCCTTGGTATGAAAATTAATGCGATTGGATTAACTGACGCTCTATGTATCACGTCACTGAGTTTAATTTAGACGTTTTCGTGATATTACAAAATCAGCTCTTCAATATGATGTTTATTCGTGGCATCTAAAGAAAGTTGTCAAATTATGGCAGCAGCCGAATTGTTGACAATTCGGTAAAAGATTAACAGACTGCTACTCACCAGGCCACATTTGAACACTCTATTTATATGCGTTTACATTACATCACGTTAGCTGACAGAGTATGATGAGGATGTGAATGACAAACTGCATTGATATAATTGTAAGTAATGACGAAAGAAGATATCATATTGTCATATCGCATTTGTAATTACAAAAGATATCTAAATAGATTTACTAATATTTCTATATAAAGTTAAAATTAGAAAAATGGATGATAAAATTTCAGTAGGATTTTTAAAAAATACATAAATGAAGTACACTCTTACCTGTTCATTGACAAGGTGAACGCACTCTCCGATAATATAGATATTTTGTTCGCATAATTATAAATCCTGTCTTTCGTGGTACATTGCTTTCCTATGTATTACGAAGGCTAAGTGTGGGATGCCAGAGTGGGAACATATGTGTCATCAATATGGAAGTTCGATACTCATAATAATATGACTTAATCTAATACATTGTAGAATAACTAATGAATCGTCATTCTCAGTCAGAACAGTCGACAAATGTTGAGTCACAATAGAAAAGTTCAAAACTGTTTGTATATTTTGGAGATATCTGTACATCTTGAATAACGATGATAAATATTTCACGGATAAATTCTGTCTCATATCAATGTGCATTTCAACGTCTCATCCACTCAGTTTTACGTGTATATTTCAGTTTGAATAAAAGATGTTCCACATTTTATTTAACAGACTGATATGGATAAATCCGAAGAGGATTACTACAAGCTTGCATTTGAAACTGGTGTAACTCAGTCTCAAAAACCACAACTAACGGATGCTTTCCGAAAAATGATTCGATTAGGCAGAGTGAGTTTATTTAAGAATTCGTATGTTTCCAAGTCAAAAATAAGATGATATTGTTTTGCGCTACTAGAATTGATCGATTTTCTCTGCACACTCTCATTTGCTCCCAGTCCAGACGTTTAGAATGATGGGCGGAACACTTTAGGGAACAGTTCAGCTGGCCTTCAGCGACTCTACTACTACCCTCCATTCCCAGACAGTGTGAATGGAACATTGAAGTAGGTTCCCCAACCCTAGCAGAAGTTCAAAAGGCTATAGTTAATCTGAAACGAGGAAGGGCAGCTGGTCCAGATGGGTTGGCTCCAGAAGTTTTTAAGGATGGTGGTCCAATTTTAGCGGTTAGGTTGACTAATATTTTAGCTAAGATCTGGGAACTAGATGTTATTCCATCTGACTGGTCGCCATCACTTATCGTCCCAATATATAAGAAAGGATCAAAATCATCTTGTGACAACCACAGAGGGATTAATTTAACAAATATAGTATCTAAAATACTAGCCTCAATAATAATCAGACGCCTAACTAAGACTCGTGAACTGCAAACACGAGAAAACCAAGCTGGCTTCAAACCTGGTCGTAGCAGCATCGACAACATATTCACCATTCGTCAGGTTCTAGAACACAGGCATACTTATCGGCGTCCGACGATGATGGTCTTTCTTGACTTAAAAGCAGCATTTGACTCGGTAGACCGCGAGATTCTGTGGCAGTGTTTGTCATTGAAAGGCGTACCCCAGAAGTACACAAAACTTGTGAAGGCTCTTTACTCGAACACTACTAGTCGAGTCATCTATTTTCGCAACCTCAAGTGGTGTCCGTCAAGGATGTTCACTTTCTCCATTTCTGTTTAACTTCATCATAGACCTACTGATGGAAACAAAATTCTCGTCGACTGAATTCTCAGGTATTGATCTCCTTCCAGGAGGTCCACTTATCGACTTAGAATACGCAGATGATATAGTCCTGTTCGGTGAAGACGCTGACAAAATGCAGAGTCTTCTGGTAGCACTGAGCAACAATGCCAGGATGTTTGTAATGCGCTTCTCTCCCTCTAAATGCAAGTTTTTGCTTCAGGACTGCTCTGCGTTAACACCTGAACTAAGGATAGGGAGTGAAGTAGTCGAACGCGTTGACTGAAATGGTTGAGCCACGTGTTACGTATGCCTGAACACCGATTACCACGACGTGCAATGCTGACTGGTGTTAGAGATGGTTGGAAGAAAGTTAGGGGCGGCCAAACCAAAATGTGGCATCAGTGCTTGAAGTCGCTAACTTGTAGTCTGAGCCATGTTGGTAGATGCAAACTACTTGGTTGGGGTCCGCGTAACTATCGTAACCGATGGTTGGAGACTCTTGGTGACATGGCTCAGAATCGATCACAATGGCGTAGGTGTATACACTCCCTGTCTTCCCTTAAACTAAGAGATTAAAATCGCTTCATATCTTTCTTTCTACGAACTAATTCTATATTCCGGTACTGTATCCTTATATGCAATCTTTTGCATATATATTACCACCTTTAACCTAAGAACTCTCATGAATCCGGTGTTCATCTTGCTGTGCTAACGAGGTATGGCAACCTGGACCGATGCATATATGTGCCTGGTCCTACGTTGTAGCTGACTGACTGACTGCACATAATAATCTGTTCCACGTACAAATGTTCATGTACATTCCCCTCATTTATGATAAAACGAACGAAATATACGAATAACCATTTACCTGAATTCTAATGATTTCAGCATCACAATAAGTTGTTAACTGTTAATAAATGCATAAGCGTATGTCATATAGCCATTATGTATCATTGATTCACGGAAACAGATTGGTAATCGACTGCATTAACAGCAACTGGAAAATGTAACTCCAAGGTTTGAGCAGATTGCCTATTTCTATAGGTCTTCTGATTGATAAAAATGAATAATAGAAAAACCACTCGAAATACCGAAACAGATTTCAGATAAATATCATGGTAATGCTTTCCTCGTATGTCCCACCTAATTAGAAATGGCTATTACACGCTTTCCAACCGAAAACTCTCCTTTCCTTCCTGTAAATCCGACTAGAAGATCATTATTGGCAGTAAGATTTCATCGTTACAATTGGTGAACTCTGCTTCTGAAAATCCTAATATCGTATAACTGGAGTGTGCAATTGCCAGACCATGAAAGTTTAATGATTTTCACCCAAGAGTCTCCTTTTGTGATATTTAATTGAAATTAAGATACAACTGCCATTTTGATTCTTGTTATGTTTTACGCTCAATCCCCAAAAGAAGTCGAACGCAAAGAAACAACTCTTGAAAGAATTTGTGACGAAAAACGAACTACAATCCATTTGTCCACAGGTAAATATTATCCTATGACTTGCTCCAACTATATTTTTTAAAAATATAAAGCCGTTTAACTGAGATTCCTTAACAAAAAGTGTAGTTGTTAACTATCAATGTATGCTACAAAGTGTAGGTTACTTGGCAGAGAATAGTGAGATATTATTTGTAGTGAACAGATGAAAGTCAGCATTCGAAATCTTCATTTTATAGAATACCTGTAAGCTAAGCTATTTAGGAATCTGTATTTACTTGGAATTTCAGTAATCAGTATTAAATTACTGAACTGTTTTACCTAGAAATGCACAGGTGGTCATCTCTATGAAAAAGGCTGTTATATGTGACGTGAAAGCCACTGAAAATATTCTTCCATTTCATCTCGTGAAACCATATTATAAGCTCATTGTAACTTATTTTACTTGTGTAGATCGATTGGAGTTATATACTTGAAAAAGTATTACAAGAAACGGGATATGTAAAATTGCACAAACGATCGATCATTATACAACGGCGAAATGAACTCCGTCAACGTTGCGCAGAATACCGTGCTTTATTGACGGAAAAAGGTGGTGGGAGGTAAAGCACACTTTATTTTCTTTATGGTCGGCAACCAGCAGAATTTCTTAGTCGACAAGTTTATAAAAATATACACCTGCATCTCTCAACAACGAATTATATTAGTGTTAAGGATTTGTGGAGGCTGTAGAACTTGCACTTTTAAATCATGAGTTTACCTCAGTAACACTACACTGAAAACCCAGTAGCACTTGACGGCTCCTTTGACCTCGTATGAGATGCTCAATCTGTGTGTATCCACAATGGTTATCCACCACAGACAAAAGATGAGGGTCGCGCAATATCGTCAATTGAAATTAAACCTTGACACCGTTGAATACTAACTCAATAATCTAGAAACTTAACGTTCATGTGTGAGACTGAGGAGCTTGGTTTTGATTCCTGGATGCGGGTTCGTGACCATACACTACTGAGGAGTCGCATACTATCAGGAAACGGCCATTCATCGTTTCCCGGTTTTCACAGGGAGTCTAACTAAGATCAATTCATGATTTAAAACTGTGGAAATAATTAGATGAGATCGAAATAGAATCTAATAGCTGTACGTAAGTTTAGTAATTACATTTGGATAATAAAACTATTTACGTTCTGCATGAAAACATTTCATTGTTACACTTTCCACAAAGAAAGAGACTGTTATAATTTACAGAGTTCAACACAGATTCTAGTCATTCGGTTTCAATGTATGCCAGAAAGACACCCATATGAAATATTTAGTCAATTTTATCTGTCAGTAGCTGTTTATTAATCGATATTATTACCTTTCATTCCTACCTAGTAGTTGAGCGAAATGTTAAGTTTTTCACACTTTAATCAAGTAAATAAAACATAGTTTTTGATTGCTTTATCTGAAACATATTAAACATATCATTGTTTAAAATGAAACATATCAATGATTGATTAATGTGTTGACTTATTTGTTTCTAAGAAACTGGACAGATTGTTTATGTTAGTTCTGTTAACTTGGATCGTCTTCTTTGAAATTTCACAAATTCTAGATGGACTGATTTCAATCTTAACTAAATTATTCAACTTGTATTTGGATTATGCACTGACGAAGCCTTATAAGATAATAATAAGCTAATTTCACTGTTCCCAAATCAGATTATACAATTCTAATTATCTGCTTAGGATCACTCAGAACTAAAAACATTTGAATAATCCAATTTTTATATTATTCTCATTAAAATTTGTAAAATTTTTAAGTGAACAAATGCATAACATTTACTGTTTTAATTATTTTATCCGAATAAATAGAGATTAAGAACATTTTAGAATTCGTATTTCAGACTTGTAGGTCGTTCTAGACATTTACAAGTGGTGAGAATAAAGCTGTAGAACAGATATTCGAATTTAGAACCATTTGTCAGTGTTATTTGTTAATTCAGAGGACTCGAAGAATATGTACCTCTGACATGGTGGAAAAAGATGAAAAGTTACTGACTGACACATTAATAGCAAATGGTTATCCACTCAAGTTTAATAATAGGCGCAAAAGTCAGTTAATGCCAAGACCTTTAATTTATTCAATGCCAAAGATAAAAATTTATATCAATCTACCATATAGAGGCGAATCTAACAGTATAGTCTTAAGGCAGAGATTAAAAGCAGCCATCGAGAATACGTATTTTGCTGCTCAGTTGGTAGTGATTGAAAAGTCTAAGGTCATGATTATTAATAGACCCAAACAATGCACTAATAATTACGTCACATCCCATTGTATTTACCAATTTACATGTTTGTGTGGACACATACATTGGGAGGAGTAATCGATGTATGTCAAATGATCCGATCAATGTAGGAGGTAGAAAATCAAGCTCATCGATAGCAAAACATATAATTGAGACGGAGAACAAAATTAACATTAATACAGCATTTAGAATGTTGCACAGAAATTGTCAAGGTCGAATCCTTAAGTTTATTGAAGCCTTGGCTATTCGTAAATTTAAACCCCCCTTATGTGTACAAAAACAATTTGTCGTAACCTTGAATTTACCTTGGTAATCCTTAAGTCATTCTATGGCCTAGGATAACGCGACAATTTCTTATTATTTCTCTCCCCTTAGTTATTCTAATTGTACTTTAATTTGTTTGACCTTTATTAATTTTCATATAAAAATGCCCTGACAAGTATATGTGTGACCAGATTGTTCGAAATGTATAGCGCTAAAACATCACATTTTTCAGATCAACTCCATCTTCTCATTGTTCAGTCGAAATTAATTCACTATGTTGTTTTACCGATGCTGTTTCATTATTACTATCATTACCCTAACTTTATTGAAGTGATTTGTTGACCTAAATTTTTTCCCTTCATTAGTACTCTACGCACAATAGCTATTATGGATTTTTTACGAGAACAACAAAAGAATACACTAAACGTTCATACATTTGGAACGAATCATAACTTCAATTCATGTTAGTATTATATTCATTAATGTATTTATTTACTTAATACTGAAATTATACAGTAGAATTACTTCATTTGTAGTAAGTAACTAAAAAGTATGGAATATTTAGGTCATGCAATTTTGTTCACTACACACGGATATATCAATTCAGGGGGCAGTTTTACGCGTTTTCATTATATTGCATCCCGTTTTGAAGAAACAGATTCCGTCAACTAGATGGGAATTGAATTTAAGTGAAATTGTCGATAAAAAATTTCATGAATTGATTATTCGTAATAGACAATCTTGATGATTGACATGAATTTATAAGACATAATATTCATTTCCAAATTGTTATATCGATAATGTTATTTGGCAATAATATACTGATTTAATTACTCGTTACTGTGAAATATCCATCCTAAAGTCAATGATAAGACTGTGAAGCGGCTATTCATGTGACATTGAATTTCTAACCACGTTTCTGCATGTAATTCAACGATTTTATTGCATTGAACTGTTTATGAGAACAACTGGAATAACGACATTGACCCTAAAATATGTACTAGTGGATAGTAATATTCGTTTGATAATGTATTTATTAACCATTACTATAATACATAATTATACTTCTCAACAGGTTAATGTATAATAAAGTGAAGCTTGGTGCGCATTGAATTGAAAACTGTTTTTCCGCTCTGATGCTAAACGACTAAACTACTAACGCACTTATTCATGTTTTAGTTCTTCAACAATAATGTACGGAGAAAATGTGTATCCTTAGGAAACAAACATCTTTTCACAAGTTATAACGACCCTTACAATGCTTTGAAAGTGAAAATACTGAGCTTAATTTCTTATAAACTGTGATTAAAAGGTACAGTATATCAGTTTATAACCGTTTTCGGAGTAACAACAAGGAGATAGGTTGATAGGTAGCGAACAAATTTTGTATATCAATGATCTTCATGACTAGAAACGCTCCGACCAGTGTTCATGTGTTGCAAATTTATATAATTAACAAGTATGATATTCTTAATTTATATGATCTAAGGTCACCAGTGATGTCGAAAGTATTGAGCATATGAATAAAGTTAACGTCAAACACCTGATAATCACTGGCTGCACTAGCACCAACAAATATACTAATAACCAGTATAAAAAAGTTATTCATCAATAGAAACCACATAAATAAACAAGGCAATAGTTACTAATCGAACTTCCTATTGTATTCTGCCTGCATAATTCTACAGAAGACATATTCATATATGTACAAATCTAGTATACTCAGCAAATCCCATCAACGTAATCCATTATCCCTGAACCAATGCAGATTTATCCATCATTGCCATTTTCAGTCATATTGATAGAAGTGGAATGACTTTAAATATTAAAGTATACTTTGAAGCACGTCCTGATATTCAAAGCAATGTAGTGGACGTAAACAGCTTATTGAGTAAACATTATTTTGAATATATTCTTTCTGAACTTAGTGTTGAAGCAATTATACGATGATTGAGTACACAAGTAGTCATGAACACTAGATCAGTAAACACTGGATTTGGACGATAGTGTCATTTGTTGCATGTGGAATATCTTGATAAGATTTATATTTGTTGAGATACTCACTGATTCCGTTCCTTCCTTATATAAATGCATTTGATCCTCTCACAACATAACATTAATGCGCTTTATTTTAAATAGCTTCACAGACACATTTTGATGGGCAATGTATAAAACGGTTGAAGGATACATTTCCATGGACGCTTGAAAGACATTATATCCGTTCGCATGTAAACGAAACACACAAAGCAGAGGTTGGTTCATGTCATATTTCACTTATCTACAATGTTTGAATGTTAGACCCGCCTAGCAATAATATGAAATAGTTATATGATGAAATGAGACAATCTAAATAGATTCCTAGTAAAAGTTAATTTGTTGATTGTGGAATTCCTCATACAGTCAAAGGGCTACAATATAATTATCACATTCGAACGAAACCTATCCATTTTAAGTGGATCACCACACATCCATCATGATACAAATGATCATGAAAAAAACGGGCGTACATATAGTTTGTTTTTTGGTCTATAAACCAAAATGCAGATATTGACGATGGTTTGCGGTATAGTTTACTTACAATAACAAAAACCCTACAATTGTTGACAATGGACAGTTGTACACACAGTGTTTTATTTCATGATAGGCTGGTAGAAGCACTACAGTGAACAAACATCGTTATATTAGGGTGATGGAAAATGATGTCGTATACAAGATACATTCAAAAATTGCTTTTAAGTTATTATCTTTGATGAGCTTGAAATCAATGACAGAGTTTAACTGTCCACAAATGGATAAATGGAACTCCATATAGTGATTACCATTTGTCCTATTGCTACTAATATGTGAACGCAGTTAGTTATTGAAAAAATCTTATTTTTCATTTTAAACATCAAGTATATTAAAAGAAATATTTGTAGACAATATTGTTATAAAATTTGAAGTGTTGGTAATTTTCGGTAAGAAGTATGCTTTGAGATTCTTTGAGAGAATAATCGAAATTAACATAAATTTACTGGAATATTGACAGAAACCCCTATATACCCAACAGTCGACTGTTCATATTCGAAGGTTAAAATTATTCAAAACAAGAGAATACTACACTTTTTCATTTAAATTACATAAACATAAACAAATATCTTCGAATAACACAATTTAGAGCACACCCCACAAAAAATGATATTCAGCATCTTAGCATAATAAGCGTTCAGCACAAAATATTTCCGAACGGTATTTATGCTAAATAATATAATACATGCATACATGGGGAGGAGGATGAATCATCGAGTGACATTTAAGATATTCACACTTTAGCTAGAGCCTGTCATGTGATCTAGTGATCATAACGGTACAATGAGATATGCAAATTGTTACTGTTCAAATAACATTGTCTGTCAAGTAAGTCAATAAAAGAGCTTAACCAAAATTAACAATAATCGAAATTGGTTGTAGGACAGTTGATATAATACAATCGCCTGCTATGCATTTACAACTGTATTGCTAGGATCACGCTAAAGATACGCCCATGTTCGGATCTCATAAATTATCTCTCTTTTTTTTTAAATTTTATTTGAACACATAAATATTGATACAAGAGGGCACCAGGTATATGTACGCCACACAAAACAATGAGGAAGGGAAAATAATAAGAAAGTAAGGTGCGTATAAGAAAAAAAGAACAATAACGACTACAGATTAGTGTGTTAGTGTAATAATAAGAATAATAATGGGAGGAACAGAAAGGTACAACCAGTAGAATGTTTTCAGTTAATAAAGTTACAACCACTTTTACGAGTAGCTAAAGAAAAACAAACAAAAGCAAAAAGAATTGAAGAAGGTGAAAAAGGCCGAATAGAAAAAAGCCTCAAGTAGCTCCTTCTAAACAAAAAGCTACCAAGATTATTTAAAAGGCTGCTCCAAGAGTTGGTGAAAAGCATTAATGCATATGTTACAGGCTTATTATTTTGTGGAACAATAATTTTCAAATATGACATACACTTTCTCAATTGTAATCATTTTCACTCTGTTACAGGTGATCAATATGTTTAACGAAATTAAACTCACTATAACTAACTCAATACCAAAAATTAAGTCGTTTAATGAAGAAGAAAAAAAATTCATGAAACTCAAGGTTCGTTTAAGTTTTAGTAAGATAACTGATTGTTATGAAAAATTGTAGGTATCAAAAATGGGTATATTTGCATTGTACTCCAGTCATAATTCTTCTCAACAAAAAGAAAATCTCTCAACGGTATTCCAAGTAAGTTAACTACAGTTATTTCACTATTGAAAAATAAATTATTCTACATCTCCATTCGATACAAATAATGATTATTTTATTGAAAACTGATTATATTATATATCAATGTATATAATAATAAGCTATTTCTACACAAAATAACTCCGGTTATCACGGAGGAGACATGTGAAACTTACAAGACACCGTTATTCCTAGAACTCATCATTGATAACACTTATTGTAATAAAACCATATTTCACATTTCCAAACAACATTGGTTCGTCTCAATCATTACGTGGCAGAGAAACGTCAACTCACTGGTCTTTATTCTGCAGTTCGGCAACTCAGAGGTTAAACCCTAAAAGGTTCAAATATATGGGTCAATTTATGTACTAATCTGCTGGTCATCAAAAACTACACATCAATCTCACCATAATTCAACTACTTGGATGCATGTACAAAATCATTTATAAACTCGCCAAACTACAATGTTGTGTGTATATCATTAAGTGATAAAATTTATAATTACTGGAGGACTATTCACACAATTTTATGCATTAGTCAAATCATTTCGGTAACTCGGCGTTACAAATCGAGGAAAGTCAATTTACGTGACAATGAAAATCCGAAATGTTGCTTCAATGACACTGCATTTTCCCAAAACCATTGATTCAGAAATACTTACTCAATAAACTGAAAAACAGAATGTATAAAACGTGCTTTAAACATCTTTTAAATGATCTCTGTCAATGTCTTTTCACACAAATAATATTTAGTACCCTATTCGAGAGGACAATTATTACACAAATGAATTCTATATCCGTAAAGCGAAACATATTGACACTTTGAAAACTCAGTTATACAATTATAACCCGTAAGTTGTCATGATATCTCTGATATAAAAACAATACAAGTTATCACAAATTATTAATTTTACTATTTAAGATTTGAATATGCTTTAATCGAAATTATCTTATGGATTGATGCCTTCTACTGAATAAAACCCACATTACTATGAAATCGAATTGATTTCGTGGACTGATTTAGTGTGTGTTTGGTTCGTCTTTGGACGTCTTCCCTTTAAATCTTGTAACGAATATGCTAATTAAAATCCTAGAAAACAGAAGAATGTACAAATTATTTTTCTTAAGAAAACTTTCTATGCCTTCATTACATTATTCAAGGGGGTAATGAAGTAAGAAGATTTCATTCATTTTATAACTTGAACGACAAATGCTAACTTCCATTAATATTGCTAATGTATCATATAACATTTATATTTTCGTCTTAAGAATCCATAGTAATAAAGAGGTTGTAAAAAGTTACTTTTATTCAGATCCCATAATCTCATATTGTAAACTGACATACCAATTTCTACCCAATTTATGTATCAATAAAACCACTTCATTCACCGATTCATTAAGTATCATGTAATATAATCCATGCTATTTTGTGATAAAACTGAAATACCAGACATTTCGTACCGTAGTAATCTTGAAATGATTACCTGATGAATTGTAAAAACGGGAAATTTTATTGAACTTGTACGACATTTGAAATAACCAAACGTTTATCTTTTTGTGAACAGATCTCTCTCAGGATCACTGTCACGTCTTGTATCAGCTTATTATGCAATGGATGAAAATCGCATATATGTACACCCAGGACTTCTACAACCTCCACTTTATTATGAAAATGGTAGTTTAGCTTCGAAATTTGGAGCACTGGGTTGGATTATAAGTCATGAGATTATGCACGGAATAGGTATCCAAGGTTTGTGAAATCAGTATACTAAATTTTCAGTTTGTTAAGAGTAATAATAATTAACTTGTATAAAATTATTACTTTCGGTATAATACTGTTCATAAAACCATAATATCATTTAATTGTCTAATGAATTCATAGAGAAATATACTATTTGACTAATTATTAAAATGTATTCATCAGAATCAACTCCGCCTGGAGTCCATTCGGGGGCTACTGCCGGTCCCAAGCACGGATAAAGGAGGGGGGTCGGGCATGGGGTTAGCGTTCCCATCCCGTAGAAAACTAACTCGCTAAAAAAACGCTAAGCAGAAAAAAATATTCAAACCTTTTAAACTCTGCCCTGGGAGTCAGAAGTTCTTCATTTAGAAGAACTATGACGTCTCATGATGAAAGCCGAATTCCTTCGGAAGTTACGAGGCTGATGCCCCTTCTGACAACCAGAGCAACCACCACCAACAAGTGAAGAAATCAGCATGGCAAAGCAGCAGGACCAGACAACATTCCAGCAGAGGCACTGAAAGCAGACATAGCGGCAAGTGCAAGGATACTCCACATTCTTTTCAATAAGATTTGGGATGAGAAACAAGTACCAACAGACTGGAAAGAAGGACTTTTGATCAAAATACCGAAAAAAGGCGATCTCAGCAACTGTGATAACTACAGGGGCATCACTCTTCTCTCAATACCAAGAAAAGTCTTCAACTGGGTATTGTTAAACTGGATGAAGGACTGCGTAGACGCCCAGCTTCGTGACCAACAGGCAGGATTCCGTAAGGATAGATCGTGTACAGACCAAATCGCTACTCTACGGATCATTGTGGAACAATCAATTGAATGGAATTCATCACTCTACATCAACTTCATTGACTACGAAAAGGCATTTGATAGCGTGGACAGAACAACACTATGGAAACTTCTTCGACACTACGGCGTGCCTCAGAAGATAGTCAATATCATACAGAGTTCATATGATGGATTACACTGCAAAACCTTGCATGGAGGACAGTTGACAAAGTCGTTCGAAGTGAAGACCGGTGTTAGGCAATGTTGCTTACTCTCACCCTTTCTCTTTCTTCTGGTGATCGACTGGATCATGAAGACGTCAACATCTGAAGGGAAACACGGGATACAATGGACATCTAGGATGCAATTGAACGATCTAGACTTCACAGATGATCTGCCCTTCTATCACTCACTATCAATTGAAGGTAAATTTAGATAGTGGCACTTTCATTAGAAACTGATGAATTATGTGATTCATAGTTTGGTTTTTATTAGTTCCCATTATTTTAATCTTTCGAATTTCACAAAATCATTTTATTCCATAAATCACCGACTAATTGATACTGAGTATTACCCTCTTACCACACACTGGATATCACAATCGTTTTCGAATACAAAATACAGTGACATTAGACTGCTATTGTCCTGACAGTAAATTGATTATATAAATTTTTGCATTTTCATGTAAACAATATAAATTTTCACTGATTCAATATTAATGAGTAGGCAATGTAGTGCATAGTTGGAACTCATTGAAAACCATCCTCCCATTTAGTTTTATATCAAATGTAATTTCCAATGGAATAATTTGGAATCATATGAAATAATTTGTTCTACTCTGGTATGCTGTACGTTGATGAGTCACGTCTAAACGTCTGTTGTATAATTTCATTTTAATATTGATTGTTTGAATCTTCTCATTGATGTTAAGGACTGCAATGTATTGGTTTCTTATTGGCATACGTACATTCTGTGAGGATCGCCTTGATATTGTCTTAGGTCATAAGTATTATAAGCAGAGATGGGATATAGGTACATCTAACTGACGAGTCCCAAATAGAACGAAGTTCGTATTCTGGATTCCACTGCTAGACATCATCCATATTTTATAGTGACTGTTGTATTAGTTTCTGAGAAACTCATTACTTTACTCTTTCATTTCGATTGATGTAAAAACTGGTGGTTACCAAACAAATAGGCACTGATTTCTGCTTTCTCTTTCTTCTACTCTACATGCACACTAGCATTTATGTTAAAATTAATTACAGTTTCAATAAACATAACCTATTAGTTTCGTTGTATCTCAAGGTGTACTGTATGATGAGAATTGGAATAAACGGACTACGTTCGATGCTTTACTGTCATCCGGTTTGAAACATTTGAATGCTTTATGTCTGAGTCATCAGTATGCTTCCTATAATTACACTGGTTTAAAAGTAAGTTTAGTTAAATTATAAATATGAACATATAAATATTTACTGAGATTTTGTATAGTCATAGGTTATTTAGTACAAAACATTTTCGTTCATCATCAAGTGATGTTACTAACTTCATTTAAATTGTATTTTACTTAAAAAGTTTGAGAATATTGGAAAATGAACTTACCATTAAATGTGACATCAGTTATTGCTCTCTTTTCGAGTTTAGATCTCCCATCAGAATGGTGAGGTGTTTTCTTAAACATTTCGCTTTGATTGATTGCAGCCTGTCCTAGAACTGGTCTTTAATGTCGTCATTGCTGTCATTGATGGGTGCATAACATTGGAAAACAATCATTGCGATTTCATGTTTCTTTGTTTAGAATGATGTTTTGATGATTCTAGATCCGTGAGATTCCCATCCTACAGGTGCATTTTGTGCTTCTTTCAACAGCACTAGAGCAACTTCCTGATCGTGTAAAGCATTTTCCACTTCGTGAGCGGAATATAGCAGCATCTCTCCCGTATCTAGACTTCGCTGTCCAACTTGTTTCCAATGGGTTTCGTTGAGTACTGCCAATTTGTATCTCCTCATTTCCTTTGCTATTTGACTGGTTCTTCCGGTCTCCCACATTGTCCGGACCTTCCATGTACCTATAGAAATTGCTGCTCTGGTTTCAAGAATGAGGCATCAGCCTTGTGATTTCCAAAGCAACTCGTCTTTCACCATGGGGCATCATAACTCTCCTAAACGAAGGCCTTCTAACGTTGTATAGATACCATATAACATTTCAGTGTAAAAACAGGATTGTGAGCATTTTTGATTTCAGGTTCACAATCTTACACAACACATGCATCTTGATTATTCAATGATTTAGGCTTTTCGGACTGATACTCAAGAAGAAATGTTGGCTGACAATGATGGATTAAAAGCGTCGTACCACGTAAGTACATTCAGATAATTAGTGTCATTTTGTTTATGACCACTGAAACTAGATATCAGTCCTCAGAATACTATTGTGTATCTTGAGTAGTTCGATGATTTCCTTTCAATGAACTAAAATCTAAATATGGTATAGATGAATAAATAATACTATTAATCGTGTGTCATTTATAAGACCAACACAGAAAATTTTGTTGACTCACCAAAACATAGAAAGGAATTGGATTTAATAAATGCAAAGGGATATCACAGTTACTCCTCTGAATAAATGATAATTTTTGTCAGGTAAACAAGGGGGTTCACCAAGTAGTCCGATATCACATTCGTTGTTCTAGCTGTCTATACCCTACCGTATGATTGATAATTGAGTAGCTAAAAGCTTATTAAGCTATTCAAGAAAACATTGATATGCTTGTCCCACGTTCGCTACATTCGGAGTCATATACTCCTTTGTTCGCCTTCAAAGGTTCTTTTGTTACTACGCGGCTCAAACAGCTCTCTCACAATTGCTGATATGAAAACAAAAATCCACCAGTCCGTAGTGTTCTCTCCAATAATCGAAACTGTATTTGTACAAAATTTCATTAGCGTCAACTTTGATTTGAAGTATAAAATTAACGGGACAAAACACACAAACATACTTGGAATATCTCTGTGAAATCAATGCAACGGGCAGAAAATTCAGTAGCTTAGCTAATGATTCTATCGGTGGTTTAAATAGGTACATAACTCTGTTACTTTATTTCTCGTTCGCGATTCATGAAAACTATGAAATACAGCACAATGTGCATAGGTTTATTTTGATCGTTCATGATAGAAACTATGTTATCATAACACGTTGCTAAAAGTGTTTCACAAACACACCACCTATTCACTATAAATGGTGTTTTACTACTATGTATTATGACCGTTGATTTCAAAAACACTAACTCAGTCACAGTAAATTTTACGCTACAAAACATTCTTTATTCAGACATACAAGCGTTTGTTGAAGACGTCCTCGAACAATGTTAGTCAAGGTAACCATGATTCACTTGAATCTGATCGACTGTTCTTCCTCTCGTCTGCACAAGTAAGTCCAATATTCGAATTGCTGTTATTTATAAGAATATCTATGGTGCACTTCTCAATGTTATATTCAATGGTATTTATCGTCTTTATCTAAAACACTTATCCTACATTATTTGTTCCCCTTGAACGTGGATGTGAATGTTGTATACATCAACACTTTCATAAAAATCATCATACCATCCATGTCATTATTCCTGAAATTCAACCGAAAATTATTATTCGAATTTACTGTCAACTCAATAATATTTTCACATTATCTGAAGGAGCTGAAAAAGTAGTGAAGATTAAAGCTAAGACAATAACATGAATCATCAAAATGAAAACTATCAGTTCAAACACACTTATAGGCTACCTATCAACATCTTCCTATCCACTCGGTCCTGCACCTTCGTTTCTAATTCTATCCAATTGTTGTTTAGTCTTTTCGTGTCTGTCTCCATTTATCAGCCTAATGTGTTTCTTGGTCTTCCTCTTCTCCCTTGGCCTTGAGGATTCCATGTGAGGGCTTGCCTCGTGACGTACCGGGTAGCTTTCCTCAATGTGTGTCCTATCCAACTCCAGCGCTTTTTCCTGATTTCTTTCTCCGCTGGCTTGTTCTCTTCCACAGTAGATTGTTGCTGATAGTATCTGACCAACAGATCCGAATTATTTTGCGTAGACAACTGTTAATAAACACTTGTATCTTCTGAATGATGGCTTTCGTAGTTGTCCAAGTTCCCGCCCCATACAGCAGAACTGTCTTAATATTTGTATTGAAAATTCTGACTATGGTGTTGTTTGAGTAGATCGTGAAAGGCCTAGAACCCATTACTGGGTGCTATCTTGAATTTGTTCGTATCCCGAAGAAAGGGCTTATTGAAAATTACTGATGTTGCCCAGTGCTTCTGGAGATTCGGTTTCGACTTGTTGACCAGCAAGTGATGATCTGGGGCTATATCAGATCCTCCCCTGGTTTCCACATCCTCATTCGTTCTCCTGAACTTTTTGTCGACGCAGCTAAGATCGATTTTGTTCTGTGTAGTGTGATCCGGTGAAAGTCATGTGGCTTTGTGTATGCGTTTATGTGGGAATATGGTGCCACCTATGAACAGTTTATTGAAGGCATATACGTTTGCGAATCTCTCACCATTTTCGTTCCTTTCTTCGAGTTTATGTCGTCCGATGATGTTTCCATGTACAGTGTTGTCCATTCGAACCTTGGCATTTCGGTCTCACATCAGAATGGTCAGGTCTATTCTTGCACACTTCTCGACGATTGACTGAAGCCGATCGTAGAACTGATCTTTAACATCTTCATTGTAGTCGCTGGTAGGCACATAACATTGAATGACGTTCATTGAAATGCCCTCTTTCTTTGTTTTGAAAGAGGCTTTGATGATCCTTGTCCGTGAGATTCCTATATTATACATGTATTAAAAGAGTGGAACTTGCCACGGGAAAAACATTGACCAAACGTGTGCCCATCTTCATGAAATGCATCCAAACTCCTCAATGAATCATCTGCATAGCCTTTAGTCTGCACTGGGTTGGGATGACGTAGTAATGTCGTGAACCTTTTTATATCCTCATGAATCGCTTTACAAAATCTTCCTTTATTGCGTTCGAAATTTGTATACTTAATATAGTCTAGCAGCAATTCCTTGAGAGTTGTATAAAAAAGCGATATAGACTTTTCCGGCATAACCAGAATTCTTAATAAGCTGTATGCTTCTTTTCCAATGAATGTGAGCAAATGTGTCACAATATTAACATCCTCATCATCTTGCTTGGTCATAGCCCAGATTTCGAACCTTTCAAAATAATCCTCAAAAGCACCAAAATCTGAATGTATATCCAATAATTCCATCACAGGCTTCATAGCGACGCCAATTTGGTGATTTGAATTATAGTATGAACTAAGAATCCTCAAAATAACCCAAATGAATCAAGAAGCACTAGATGAGCTCAAACGAATTTATTGTATTTAGAATTCGAAATCGAGCATTCAACAAGTACAAAAGAATCATTAGTTCATTCAAACACCACACCATAACATGGACCTACATTAATGGTTGCTTTGGTTGTCAGAAGGGGCATCAAATTCGTAAGTTGCGAAGGAACTCGTCATAACTCTTCTAAATGAAGACCTTCGAACTTCCAGAGCAGAGTTTAAATGATTTGAATTATTCTTTCTGATTAGCGTTTTCTTTGTGAATTAGATTTTTAGCGATTGTGCCGCTAACCTCACACCCAAATCTCTTCTTTTTTCCGGGCTTGGGACTGGCAGTAACCCAAGAGAGGCTCCAGGCGGAGTGATGTATATTTTAATTAGTGTATAATACGTGCAATGTCAGCTTAAGTATAATCATGTCTTGTTTTATCACCAAACAACTAGTAATATACTTTTCAACTGTTTTCATTGTCTCATTTTCAAGGCTATGTGTGGACATCATGGTGAGCTAATACTTGCAAAAAATGCAGTAGTTATGCCTCAGGTTTCGGAAAAGTTTAGGTAAGAATTTATAACGATATAAATTACATATGTTATACTAAATATTATGACTTGAAATATTTGTCGACACAAACTAAAGTTTACATAGCAGAAGTTGCAGTGTAAAAGGGTGAATTACAAGTATTCAGCATTATATTCCGCAACGAGAATGAACACTATTATGCTTGAATGCCATATAACTGTTATTTAAATAAAGCAAGAACAAATATTGATGCAGAATAGTATGAATTCATATTATTTCGAGGTTTCTCGTCAGCTGCTTACAAACCAAAAAATGTGATAGAATTTTTACATGGAGATAGAGTGAAAACAATTGACATAAATGAGTGTAAATAACTGGGTTACAATAATAACTATATATATATATATATCACAGGTTTTTAAATCATGAGTCAGTTGAAGCTAGACCACCATTGAAAACCTGGAAGCACTGGACGGCCGTTTCGTCCTGGTATGGGACTCCTCAGCAGTGCGCATCCACGATCCCGCACCACGCGGGGCTCGAACCCAGGACCTACTGGCTTCGCGCGCGAGCACTCGCTCGGTATTGTACGAACCCTTTTTGACCGCGCTCAAAAAATCTGTTCAAAAGAATACCTTAATGATGAAATTAATCTGATTACTAATGTTCTACGCGATAATGAATATCCATTGAAATTTATCCAGAAATATGCCAAAATCAATCCTCATACAAAATACGATGGAGTAGAAAGAAAAACCTGCTTTTTACACTTACGTTTCAAAGGTGATGAAATCGCTGGAATAATCAATCAAAGAATAAACTCTGCGTTGAAAGTCACCTACCCAGCAGCAAAACTTATGACAGTATGGCAAACGAACTGCTCACTTCAACAAACCAAAATCGACAAGCCCTCTTTTCTTAGTAGCTCCAACTGCATCTACCAATTTACATGTACGTGCCAAAGCACATACATTGGAAGAACTGAGAGAAGAGTGCATGTCCGCATTTCTGAGCACGTTCCAAAAAACTTGAGGCTGCGTGGGACCAGGGCTTTCAACAGTGCAATAGCTCGACATCTAATTGACACCGGACACACCATCGACATTCCTCATGCATTCAAAGTTATCAATAGACAAAGAAATACGACCAGCCTCCGTTTTGCTGAAGCTATTATGATCAAAAAACTTAAACCTGACTTATGCATTCAAAAAGAGACGTTAATTAGCTTATCACTACCCTGGTAACCCTTTATTATTATTATTATTTTATTTTTATTTATTTTAAAATATTTATATTCCTCCCCTATTACATAATTCTTAAACCACATTATTATTTACGCATTTCCACCACCTGATCCTCCTAAATTATCTTAACTTTTCATATTCTATTTAATTATTATTACGTAACCTATCTTATGATTATTCAATTGCATTATTACACCACCCAACCTGGATTAACCCCCTTCTTTTGACCTCTGACCTATTTCTAGCATATATATATATATAGTTATTATTGTAACCCAGTTATTTACACTCATTTATGTCAATTGTTTTTACTCTATCTCCATGTAAAAATTCTATCACATTTTTTGGTTTGTAAGCAGCTGACGAGAAACCTCGAAATAATATGAATTCATACTATTCTGCATCAATATTTGTTCTTGCTTTATTTAAATTCATAAAGGGAACCAATTGCATGTAACTGTTATTTGTTAGATAATACAAACGGCCACGAAAACTCAAAAAGTAATGAATTCTGATGGTCTAGAACAGCACTGGAAGTCGCTTACTTTACCTTGAATCTCATTAACCTTTCACAATCTTTATCAGAAAACAGTAGTTTCAGTTAGCAAAATTTACAGTATCTGTGTGTTTAGTTTACAGCTCTACAAACTAACGAAATAATTTTGTTTTCTCTACCTTGAAAGGGTAATCGGAGCGTTGGTCAATAGTAGAAGATTCGCTCGTGCATATGGTTGTCCAGTTGGTTCACCAATGAATCCTGTTATAAAATGCGATGCATGGTAAAACCGTTATGAGTTACATATACGACACCTTAAACATATTTTGGGACGCTACAACATTTGAGTGATTTTTTTGCACTTTCCTAAACAAATCTTTAACATACACAATTCTCACATTCGGTTTTAATTTATGGTTCTATCCACTATTCATGTGAAATGCCTATTTATCGATCACAAAACTTTATATCAGCATAAGAGTCAACATACTCCAATTTCTTTTCCTCCAATTGAGTAACCAACTTACATTGTTTTGTACTTAATATTTAAATCAAATAAACTTTAGTTAGCCTAATCATCGCATGTTCTTAACTCAAAATTTCAGCTTCCCATTTAATAGAATCCACTAATTAACAATCTACACTACTTGAAAATACATATTCTTAAAATTATCGAAAAGTTCACACAAGTGTTCAAAATAGATTTTGTAAAACATAAACAAACATGTAGAAAACGGAAAGTGAGAAGCATTATTAAGTGTAAATTGGGTCCAGTCAAAAATGATCAAGATGAGTTCGATTTTACATTTCAGTAAATCTCTGGTTTATATGCACATTAATTTGTTAATTCACGCAACTACACTGCGAAGCGTGCATAAAAACGTACCTAAGAATACATAAATGACATTCAATTTACAGACAAGACGAGATATTTCAGACTTCAAAATATAGAATAGGAGTATAAATAAGTAGACGCGATTCGGCTAGTGAATTGAAGAAATCGAATACAGTAGCATCCAAGTACTTTTTTACGAATTTCTGATGAATATCTTCATCGCATAAATTTTAAAGCCAAGACGTTCTCTGTCTATTCAGATTATTTACGTAAAGTTGACTAATTAAAACAATGAATAAATACAGGTATGCATGATTGATGTACAGTAGTCAGAATTCGTTATACAATTGACCAGTCTCTTATTGACAAATGTGCATCCTGTGCGGATTGCTTTGATATTGCCTTCAATCACAAGCATTGTGGGTGGAGGTGAGAGTGGCTAGCAGTGGAACACAGGATGAGCATTTCGTCCCACATGGGACTGGTCAGCTGGATGTAACTATATCTCAAAGTTGATATTCACTCAAGGACTCAAACCCAGAACCGTTCGCTTCAAACTGCTAGCCACCATTATCATCTCTGCTTAGAATAATATGGTGATCAGTTTAGAAGTCCATAATACTAGATACTTGTCTATTCATCACCATACCTATTATGAGCAGGATTACACAAGCGAAATTAATTTTATAGACACATTATTCTAGTAGGCGTTAAGAAGAGTATAATAAGTCTACGCTTTCGAACATTTCAATGATAAATTGACAAATTTTCACAGGAGGAAAATGTATTCATTTATATACTTGATAGTACTTAACTTAAAATCCAATCGATAAAAATTACGGATCAAGATATGTAGCTAGTTGACTGGTGCAAAAGTAGGAAAAGGCGAAAGGAAGTTTTAAATTTAATATATTCAAACATAGAGACATGGGATCATTGAAATAATACTCATGCTATTCATATAGATGCTATAAGATACCGAAATATCAAATGAAGTCATGTCATTGCTGTATTATTACTCGGAAAGTATTTATAGCTTTATTACACTTGAGTCGCATTTATCACTTAAACATATTGTTAATACCGAATCATACCGATGAAGAAAATTTCCTGCAATCAGAAAGCTTTATTGAATTCATAAATAAAGTTTGTCAGAAGATAATGTGAACAACAATCAGAGCGATGCAGCAATGAACTCAGTCGTTCTTTACTATGAATTAACCATTTTTTTCACAAAACAGTGAGTGGCAAACCAGACTTCACTGATTTACAGACTGGTTTCCATCATATCTTCAATCAAGCATAAATTGGAACGAAAACAGTGTAATTATAAGTAAGCATTAAAGCTACTGGGAAGCATAAGTCGTTGAGAGCGAAACTACCCAAACGGCTACATGGAACGTTTGCAAGAAGTATCATATGGTGGTTACTAAAGTTCATATACTTATTACGTGCTTTTTGGTAATGACCTAATGATATATCGTTGTCATATATCAGGAGTATCTTTATGAGTTATCAGATTGGAGTTTGAACCAAATTAGGTTGCCATAAGAGTAATTAAACCCAACATTAGTACACCAGCACATAAATTTATTAACCTGTTAATTTATATGATTAGATTAATCCTAATTGTGTATCACATGGTTCTAATAACATTTAACCTCTCATTACAATATACAAAGTTATCAAAATGGATGTCGTAACTCGAATTACCATAGTGACTTAAGGAAAATTTAAAGGTAGATATAGATATGCTAGAAGATTACAACTAAGACAAACCAGAATTCGTAACACCCCCAGTAAAACGCCGAATTGTTCTATGATATATAAATGTAGTTGAGATTAATACAGAAAAAACGGAATGGAAAGTTAATCAAAAAACTATTAGCATTTATACTGATGATTTAAAGTTTTCTGTGCTTTTTTAATCATATCTTCGACAAAAGCTGTTGGAGAATTTAAACCACATCGTTCGGCGAAATCGACATTAGTTTTGGAACCAGTTCCAGTCAAAGTTCTGTCTAAAAATCCCAATAAAAATGTATCATCCATACAAACATTCATTTTTGTGCTAATAACATTTAAAGCATTGTCTTTGGATTCAAGTAGATTATGTTTGCCATCAGCTGGATGAAAATTATGTGAAGGATTAGACATTTTTTCATTACTGTCAACTACCGGATAACTACTGTCATCACAATTAGTTGTTTCTAATCCCAACGGATCATAAAATATATTCAGCATATTTGATTTCGACTGACCGATATTGATGTTTTCTGAGTTTATCTAAGAAAGAATAAGAATTTGCGAATTAATGTCTAGTCAAATCAAAGGAAATATTAAAGGGTAAACCATAGATATCTTACATAATAATAGACACCACCTTAAGAAATCGCTTTTCTTATTGTTATGTCCCAATAAGCAGAATGAATAGTAACTTTTGGGATCCATTTATGAAAAAATACTAAGTGTGTATTTTTATCGTGTAATTGTTAAATAACTAAACTATTCATATTCATATTCCTCTTATTATAAGCTTTATTTTGACCTATGAACTATTATTATATGTTGTACTATTCCTGAATTATGCCCTTTCTATTATTCACTGCCTCCCACACTCACAGCCACTTTTGGCTAGATCTTGTACAAATGTTGTTTCGTATTTTATGGTACGTTGTGGTTTGTTCGATTAGTATATAAACTCAGTATGTTTGAAATATATTGATGCATATCACAGAGGCTGAGATTGATGTTCTGGACTTAACTGGTTGGGCTAGGCGAGAAGCAGGACCAATCAGAACTCAAGGCTGCTCGTACGGGTTTTATGTGTCATTGGTCGATCGGTAATTCACTGCTCTCTAATTGGCGGTATCGTTACGTTATACATTAACAGGGCACACAGGGCACAAGCTATAACACATATTTACACTGAACAAAATGCATGGTTGAGCACTCAAACAGTGAATCGTGAACACGAACTCCATACACCTAGTATTAGGCAGAATTGATATCATTAAACCTTGTATACTAGAAATGCATATCAGTCTGCAAACAAGTCTATACAAAATCAAGGAGTGATATTATTATTATTATTACTTAGATATGACTTAGAAATTATTCTTAATTGCTGAACGTGCACTAAATATAACCTCGAATCGTTTTTAATGAATGAAACGTTCAGCAAGATAATGTGCAATGAATTTGAATAAGAAATGAACTTGGTCTCATTTAGATTTCACTAATCAGCAACAAGAGACCTGCAGTTACAATCTCAATAACCAATGAGGGATAAAAAAGCGATATTGCTACTGACTGGGAACAAACAAATATTGCGTTGAGAATAATTGTGAATTTTACTGAAAACCATCAATAAATAGATACGATAATTCGAGGTTTCGATTACGCTAATTCATAAAAGTGCTAGAATTCCAAAAAAATTCAAAAAGATTGGAAAAATAACGGAATGACGATAAAGCAAGAAGCAAATTTAAGTATACTGAATTACACATTCAATATTTAGTGAATAATGTAAAAGAAATCCGTTTGTCATTAATGAATTCTGTATATATCTAGGGCATCAAACCATCGATTTCTACCACTTTGGAGAGCAAATTATTCAGGAATTTCACACAGTTGTAGGCAATAAAGACCAATTCAACTTTACCAAAAACACTAATCAATAATCGATGACTTCTTCGATTTACTCTGTGTTGTGATCTGATCATCTTCAATGTTTTCATAAAGTATTTTAGTAGTAAGCGGTAAACTCCAAAGTTTCAAGAAGACTATTACGATTTCTTGAGTTGGGCTTGCTGATTTATACCACTTACTCGACTCCAACAAAATATGTAATTGCAAGTTTAACATACGTCCTTCCCCTCTATCAGCATAATCAAAGAGAAATTTTGATGTTGAGTAGACAAGTTGAATTGAGGATACACATTTTTCAGGAGTGTATATCGATAAAAAAACATTGAGAGGAAATTACTGTATGTAGTGTGGATTCCCGCTATTGATAGCCAGATCAAGTTAAGTCTTTGAATTAGTTCATACCGTCCCGAAAATATAGTGCAATAAAATAAACAATGAACAGACATACAGACAAACAAAGCATACAAATAACGTACATAAACAGTCAGATTACAATTAATTTTAAGACTATGTACAGAATTATAAGCAGGATTAAAATAGTGAATTCGAATCATCATGTCTGATTACTATTGTAGCGTGGAGTTGAGTCGCGATTGATTATGAAAACCACTACAAAGAAACGCGTGCCAAATAAACCAGAAGGCGAATATAGAGAGGAACCAAGCTTATTTTGTTGGCGATCTCGTGGAATCGAACGAATACCGAGAACGTGCCAAAAAGAGTACAAGTGGAATCGGTGGGCGAGAGTACCTGCTCACGAGGTCACAAACCGCGGGAACGTAATGGAGAATAGTGGAGTAGTAATATGGCTGTCATTTGCACAGTTAAACAAACGAGCACAGTTAAATAATCACTGGTACAATTGGTTATAAAAATAATTGTTCCATTAAACCAATCGCGTTCTCTTGATAAAAGTTGGTCACTACACTATTATCTATACTAATAGGAAATTCACGTACGCGTGTGCGAAGCCACTACAAAATTTATACCTCATGGAGAGTCGAGGAGCTTGTCCAATAAAATTAGTCGAAACATAACAACATAAACCAATGTGATTATTTATAGATTAAATCACCTTTTTTACAACCACATATCAAATTGTTAAAACATAAAGCATATAAAAACGTTTATATACCACAAAGTTTCTGACACAATAAAAGTTACCAAGTTTCGTCTTTTTCACTACCCATAAGAAAATGTCCACTATTATTTCGTTCGGAGCCACTATTGGTTTTAAAAGGACCTCTAGTAGAAGTAACACATTGGTTTGGTGTTCTCCGTGTTTATTTGAGAATCTTGCCTTATCCCATGTGTATGTTGAGGCCTATTGATGCAGAGGCTGCTGTTACACTGTTCGCCTTGACCTCCATTCCTTCTTGTGTATGGGATAGATAGGCTAAGTCGTCCGAGTAGTCCAACTCTACTAACAGATTCCGACCTGTCCATTTTATTCCATCACTACCCTGACATGTAGAGATCTACATAGTCCAGACAAACACCGGGAGAAAGAGAAAGTGAGAGTAGGCTGCCTTGTCTGCCTCTGATACTCACGTGCAATGCGTCTGTCAGCCGTCCTTCATGCACCACTTTGCACTGCAATCCGTCGTATGAATTACGGATGATGTTGACGATCTGCTCAGGTACTTCATAGTATAGAAGGATTTTCCATAGTGTCATCCTGTGTACATTGTCAAATGCTTTCTCATAATCAAGCAAGTTGATATACACTGACGGATTCCATTCAACTGATTGTCCAACAATCATCTATAGTGTCGCGATTAGGTCTGCGCATGACCGATCCTCACAAAATCCGATCTGTTGATCTTGAAGTTCAGAGTCTATGGAGTCTTTCATTCGGTTGAGCAACACTCTGTTGAAGACCTTTCCTGATACTGACAGTAGTGTAATGTCTCTGTAGTTCCCACATTTGCTCAGATCTCCTTTCTTACTTATCTTGATGAAGTGTCCGTACTTTCATTCTGTCGTCACTTGTTCTTCCTGACAAATCTTCCTGAACAGAGTATGGAGAATGTTTCCAGTTACTTCTATGTGACTCGATTGCTTCAGTTGCTATATAGTCAGGTGCTTCTGCTTTCCCATTCTTCATTTGTATGACGGCTTCCTGTTTTCTTCGATCGTTTGTGTAGTGACATCTATAGGAATTTCTATGTGTGTTACTTCGATATCCGGTGGAATGTTAGTGACATTTGACCGTAACTACACCACCTTTGAAGCCGAGCATATAATTACTGAAAAGACTTGTATTCAACGGTTGGCACGAAAAGAAGATTGACAATGGAGAACTCCTGAAAATCAATTCAATCCAATTCAGTTGAATGACTCAGTTTTGTAGATATGGCCGTTCTTGTTTAACTTATTTCTTTCTTCCATATCGGAAATATATTGTTCTATATCCAGCACAAATGTGTTCTCCAGAAGTAGGACGAATCATTGTAGACAATGATGTGACTTCCACATGAGATCTTATAGATTAAGTAGTCACATCATGACAAATCGACAATTTTACGATTAAGTCTATTATTATAATCATAGTAATAACGAAGTAGAGCATAATTCTACATTGATCAGCCCAACGAAAGAAACGCAGCCTATTGATAATTCTCATTTTCACTTTAACATTCTCGATCGATTCTTACTTATGTTAACCCATTATTTTATGAGTCCTTTGAATAATGCTCACGTATATTATCGTATTGTAATTTTGATTAGTACTCATAGCTTATTACCGCTATCGATACTAATAACTGATCATCTACGATGGTTCATTAACAAGCTTTAATAACATTTACATGCTTCAAGGAAATAAACTTGCTAAAACATCTAGCTCTAGCAAATATAGCATTTTAGTGACTTAAATGCACGTTGGCTAGCAACATGAATAAGGACTGAATGGCTATCTAGACCTAATTCATCATATTTTTTCTTCACCTAACGTTTCACTTTGTTGTAAACTATGGATTATCCTGAAATATCTTTTCTTCCAATCACTGCCTGCCTAATTTCCAATTTTCAAGTTCCATTGCCAAACAACGAAGACAATACTCCAGAAAATAACGGTGAATTTAAGCTATAAAGTTTCTGCAATTCTAATATTATTTCAAATTGTTTATACGTTGAAAACCAAGTATTTATTCAGACTATTGAGTTTCTACTAAATAAATCAAGTGACAAAGTCAGTAGCATCAAACATCCGGCAACTGGTTGGAATATCGCCTGTTCAATCAGGTTGCTTTTGAATCATTACTACTTGTTACAACTGGTGTCAAATCTATTGAATAATCTAGAGTCCGAACTACTTTGCTGGATAGTTTACTGTGTTTGTACTGAACATGTGAATATTTTCACTCACACTAGCCGTATATATTTTATACAAACGACTCCCAAAACGTTTTTCGTATAAGATTCATTTAATAGCTTTATACTACAACATGCTACTATGAAAAAGCGTGATGTTTGCAGACGAAGAATATTAGATTCAAAAAATTATTCGACATTTATTTCCAATCGTCTTTGCCACATATTTGTAAATGTCACTACGCTAACCACAGTAACTTCTTATGGAAAGTTTATGATCCATCATATTCCTAAATGGAGTTCTATTAGTGGTCTTAACTTTAAAATTATTTCTCTGGTCAAGTTTACTATTTCTACATTTTTATATACCTTACCAACGTGCATGTTAACCTGTCCTGTACATGCGTTATATTATATCTTCTTTATGTCATTTGAATTTATTAATTATTTTAACCTAATCTGTAGGCATGATTTTGTGTAGAAGTAAACCGGTTCTTAACCTTCGGACTCACGTGCGAACGCCTTACCTCTAGACTCCTAGGCCGTGATCAAACGGTGTTGATTTCTAGTTTCGATCAATGGTCTCGCACAACCATTCATCCAATATCTGAGATAGATACCTGTTTCCACCCGACACGGATTGGACTCCAAGGGTTTTCAATAGTGGTCTTACCTACATCGACTCATGAATTCATCTATTAAAATCACTACAATGTCCACAAACCCTCAATCCTAATAATTATTAGAAATTATCAAGTGCAAACTTGGCATGGACTGTAATTATTTTAACGGAAAGTGATATTACTTCACAGGCATCTTAAACAAACATTATCAATTCGTGGGAAGAGTGATAGCTTTGTCATTCTAGAAGCAATAATTTAGTTTAGATTTTTAAAAAAACAACTGTGATTAGTGCAGCACCATTAATCTATTGATTATCTTGAATGATTCTGAAATGCCAAAATCAAGACCACTATCCATTGATGTAAAATTGCATTCCGAAAATCATGATATGCTTTCCGTTTCCGATAAACAGGAAAAAGTTCACAGATGAGGAAGCCTACATTTACATCTCATCTTCCAATGTATAAGATTGAGCACGTACAAGCAAACTGACTGACATCATTCATTATAGCGTAATTCGTGAATTGGTCTATCAAATATGTAAGAAAGCGCACCTCGACGACAAATGAAACTTCAAAGGAGTGAATGCAATGGACCTACTATAAAATCAGATTATTAAAAATCTTTTCTATTAACTTTTAAAAAAGGCATCCACACGTTTGTTATAATGATCAAAATCAAATCTCACTAAGTTAAATAAATTCATCCCTTCCTGATTTATATTTAAGTATATCAACATGATTTTCATCCTGTTTTCACGGGTACAAATTCCTTTCATGAAATATTTTTGATGTTTTCGTAGTAAAATTAGTCTTCCTACTAACTAGTAAATGTCAGTAGTACAATGCTACTAATTTTAAATTCTCTCAATAATAACTATCTTCTGAGAAAATAAATTCGACAGAAATCATGAAAAATTTCCAGATAACATTTTTTCATGATGTTATTCATGCACCGCTAACAATATAAAAGATACACAACGACAATTCATCAACATATTGTATTCTACTGCTTAGTTATTTGAGAATAATTAGCACAATGATGCCTGGTCACAAATTTCATTATTTCAGTTAAATATTTGAAGTCATTTGATTTGATTAGTTTGAGTGAGGGAAACCACTGCATTTTCGATTTTCAGCTAGTATAGACATTACCTCGTAATTCATAGATGGTGTGATTTGGATGTCAGACAAAGTATCTCCACATATGAGACTTGTGGATTCCTGATAAATGAACATAGAAAATCAGAACATGGCTTATAACTGTTAAAGATACTAGACGAAGAACATTACTAGTTAACATATAAAAATTCGTCTGACATTTTGTTTGAATGTTCAATCAATTTGTTTTCTTAACAAGATATTGTAATGAATATTCAGTCTACATATCTTCAATTGTAGAGTTATCCCAATTTCTTAAATACATATCATACTTTATTGGCTAAACCAGTCCTCATTTTGAAAAACTCATATTGTTACAAATGTCGAATCCTGTGAATAAAATGCTAAGAATTTCTAACGGTTATAGACTGAAACTGAATTCATTTAAGTTGAATCAAACAAGCACTTTTGACGCTGAAGAGATTATTAAGCACTCCTCAGATGCTGGAGTAGAATTAAAAGACGCTTATACCCAGATCACATTGGATCAGCTACCATCTATGAATAAAACTACCTAGTCGGTAACTATCTCTGAACAATCGACTCATTCGTAACAGACCAGCTTATTTTCAGTTAAGATTTCACTAATCTCTTTACCTTGAGTTATACTTGCACCAATATTCATAATTGCAAACGTAATAGAATAGTGTAGGCGTGAATAATACAATGGCACGTCCTTTATAAAGTTACTCATGCTTGTCTAATCACCAAGGTCAATTCGATGGATATTTAGTCAAAGCTAATATTCTGGTTTAAAGAATTTAAAGAGGGATTCAATTTCAACTTTCGGGATACAAAATGTTCAAGTAGTTCGCTGTATGGTTGAGTAATACAAAAATCGCTTTTGAATACACCAAAAAGCCTTTTCAATTTTCATCTTCCAAAAACCTTCTGTTTTCTTGAAATGTGGAAAAACATTTGGCTCGCATATTTCCATAAAATCTAATATCATATGGCTATAATTCAGCAAACATACTATTTGAAGCCAATTTTTATTCTGTTTGTTAATTAGATTTAACTTTGCTCAGAGTTAGAAGCATACAGTTTTCTTCTCTTCTTTAGACGTATAAGAAGATTTTGGTATGTATCAAAAGATAATTCGCAAAGTAAGATGCTAGCAACGGATTCATATCCTAAGTATGCCTGGAGATCGCTGTCAGCCTAATGATTTCGGTAGCCTTATTGATATAATGTAGACTTAAATCTAATAGTAAATATGTACTATGAAAATAATAATCACAGAATCCGTGCTAGTTTGTAGAAATGAACAGCTTGATATAGATATTAATATCAAGTGTAGAGGACAGATGTGTGATATTGTGGTGAATGAAGATTTAATGGTGAATAAGCAACATATTGCTTAATGAAAAATTACAGTGTTCCCTTAAAATATAAAAACCATACATTAAATACATTATTTTCACATCTTCCTTCAATTGTCCTTCAAATGTGTCATGATTCTTTTAATTCCGTTGTTATTACAATTGCTTTCTGTTTCCCTTCCACTTCTGATTGTTGTTATTTACTACTGTGGTGCGTGCTACTTATTTTGATACAAGTAGTATATGACGCGAGTCAGCAATGTTATGTCTGGCAGCAGAAGATGGGGAAGATCAAGAAAGGAAGAGTGGGAATAGAAAGCAATTAGTATGGAAATGCAAGAACAACGAAGTTTGAGACAATTATTGAACATTTTGCAAATTAAGTATTATAGTATGGATTTTCTATTTGACCAAGTAATAGTATGCCATATAAAATTCTGTCGTCCTCACCTGCTTTCTCGTTCACTACACTACATATTTCTGTAAATACAAGTAGAACACGCCACGATATTAGACAGTTTGGAGTTTTCTAGTTCAGAAATTGTTCAGTTAATATATTTTTCACACGTATTACAGCGATGAAAGTTATAAGCCATGAACAATAATTATTAATAATTAATAATTAATTTATATTCTGAAAAATAATGATTACAGAATTCACGCCAGTTTACAGGCATGATCAATTTGATATAAGTAATAACGTTAAACGTGCAGAAAACAAACATGTGATAAGAGAAAGTTTTAAGTATACTAGTTCACTAGTTGTTCAAGTAGTACATATATTACAGCGATCCAAAGCATTATCCGGGAATTTTTAATATTTCTTAAATCGACAGCCTGTTGATTTATGAACGGTGTAATTAAGGTCAATTCGTGTGCCAGATCGAAATAATGATAATTATCTACAACTAGAGAAATTAAAACGAAAACAGAGAGCACGGAACAACAAAAAAGTAATTACCAAAATATATTAATCAGGTCTACCTAAATGCGTGTGTCATGTGACACAGTGATATACTGTTTGTGTTATTTAAATTAGTTAAAGTTGCTATGGGCAGTGTTGACATATTGACAGCAAGTGGGTGGTTTTACTAAGGGGATTCACTAATAAAGATGGCTAAACATTTAAGGTTCCTAAAATATCACTTGTGGAATGAGATACACTTAAAGGAGCTAGACCATTCAATGCATTTTCAGAAGAACAGTATGCATCGATGCAGCGAACAAATAATGGGAGTGATTTTATCGTGCGGATAGGTTGTGGTAGGTTATTCCAGAGTCTAGAGAATTTACAGGTGAAGTAATTCATATAAAGAGATGATTTAGAATGAGTTTGTTTCACTAGTGCCAAGGAATTACGTATGTTATAATGAGAGGTTTCTGCATATTGAATCGCGTGATCGGATGTAAACGATAGTTTATGAAGTAGTTTGAAGAAAAAGATAAGATTTAGTTTGAGTCTCCTCCTCCATAAATGGTCTAGCCCAAGTTTATTACATCTAGAATTATAAGTTAAGGTACAATCAGCTCCAAGAATACGAAGTGTAAATCGTCTCTGTACTGATTCCAGCCTTAATTTATCCTTTATGAGAGCACTGCTAAGAATAAACGTGCAGTATTCCAGAAGAGGTCGAACACAAACTTTGTACATTAGAATACGTGACTCAGTGTTGTAAAGATTTCGAGTTATGTAACCTATTAGACGTTGAGACTTAGAGGTCTGTTGTGATATATGTTCTGTAAACGACAAGTCTTGAGAGTATCTAAGTCCTAAATCTACTACTGTATGTAACTTAGATAACACTTCTCCATTTATGATAACGTCTAGTTTGAGCGATGTATCGCCGAAGCATATCCATCCACATTTAGCTGTATTAAGCTCCAGTTGCCATTTCAAGCACCACTGTGTTACCTTGTTAAGCTCCATGCTGATGCAATTTCGTATATTTTTCAGGTCATGTGGAGAAAATGAATATACTACTTTAAGATCATCTGCATATAGAAGGGGCTTACCGACACAAAAACTCACAAATATCATTAATAAACACTAAAAAGAGCAAAGAACCTAAGACACTACCTTGTATTACTCCACTTCTAACAGGGACAGCGTTAGACAATGAAGAGTTAATTTTGACTATTTCTGGTGCTTTTTATTGAGTCGAATGCATTGGCATGGACTATCCTGAAGGTTAGATGCTTCTAATATCGAATTTCTTACAGTTTTAATGGCGATTCTGTCAGGTATATAATAGATAATCACGTTATTACGAGAGATTATTCGCTTGGTAACTTCATTAGCGATAAAGTCGATAACAGATTCTGCTTTTATTATGTCATCAAGTTCCGCAGGAACGATACCTTTTGACAGGAGCAGCTTAAGGGGTGATAATGTCTTTATTTCTTGTTTCAAATCATCATGCTTTGATAAAGAGCTAGCAAGTGACTCAACTTTAGAATGCATGTCGGTTATTTGTTTTAAGACAGTGTTTAATTCACTCTTAATATTATTGATACTCCTAGATCTTGATGTGGAACTCATTATTAAATTAGAGACAGAGTCATCCAGCATCAGATGTGGTGTAAGATCAATCGCAACATTATCAGCTTCAAAAGGAGTAGCAGAACGTGGGGAATAGGTAATAACAGAATTGTTATTATCTGAAGTATTAGGGCTTTTCGGGGCTCGTTTTTTTGACAGTCGACCCATATCGTTTTAAGTATAGATTTTAAAGCTATTTATGAGTTATAAACGTAGAATTCAACGATTTTTAAACAATATAGATTAGATACCGTGTTATCGTAACGCAAACCTCAAACGTACCGGGATATATAGCATTTAACTCTTTTTATTAAATGTACATTCTGTTGATTTATGGACGGTGTATCAAAGTTTATTATTTGCGTCATAGCGAAATGATTATAACTAACCACAACTTGAAGAAATGAAAGGGGGTTAGAAAGCACGGAATAACAAAACCAATAATTTCCACGACAGGTCAGTCAGGTTCGGATAAAGATAAGACAGAGAGGAGATCTGAGCAAATGTGGGAACTACAGAGACATTACACTACTGTCAGTATCAGGAAAGGTCTTCAACAGAATGTTGCTCAACCGAATGAAATACTCCATAGACTCTGAACTTCGAAATCAACAGATCGGATTTTGTGAGGATCGGTCGTGCACAGACCTAATCGCGACACTATAGATGATTGTTGAACAATCAGTTAAACGGAACAGTGTACATCAACTTGCTTGATTATGAGAAAGCATTTGACAATGTACACAGGATGACACTATGGAAAATCCTTCTATACTATGAAGTACCTGAGCAGATCGTCAACATCATCCGTAATTCATACGACGGATTGCAGTGCAAAGTGGTGCATGAAGGACGGCTGACAGACGCATTGCACGTGAGTATCAGAGGCAGACAAGGCAGCCTACTCTCACTTTCTCTTTCTCCTGGTGTTTGTCTGGACTATGTAGATCTCTACATGTCAGGGTAGTGATGGAATAAAATGGACAGGTCGGAATCTGTTAGTAGAGTTGGACTACTCGGACGACTTAGCCTATCTATCCCATACACAAGAAGGAATGGAGGTCAAGGCGAACAGTGTAACAGCAGCCTCTGCATCAATAGGCTTCAACATACACATGGGATAAGGCAAGACTCTCAAATAAACAGGGAGAACACCAACCCAGTCACACTTAATCGAGTAGATCTGGAAGATCTGGAATCTTTCACGTACCTGGGTATTATCGTCGACTAACATGAATGAATAAATGCAGTCATACAGGTGAGAATTAACAAAACAAATGCCGCATTCCTATAATTGAAATACTCAAGTTAACTGTCATCTAATATCAAATTCAGAATACTCATTTCAAAGGTCATTACAGTTCTACTTTACGGAGCTAAAACTTGGAGGACCACTTCAGCCGTCATCAAGGAGCTGTACGTATTTATAAAGAGTTGTCTTCTTAAGATACTCAATGTCTCTTGACCGGAAATTATCAGCAACAGCCTACTGTGGGAGAGAACAAACGCGCTTTCATCTGAATTGGAAATTAGGAAGTGATGTTGGGAGTGGATAGGACACACATTAAAGAAATAATGAAACTGCATCACGAGGTAAGCCCCAATTTGAAATCCTGATGGGAAACGAAAATTGGATGGATAACGAACACAATACTTCAGGAATTGTAAGTAGATATGAAAAGTATCAATATCAACTGGAAACAATTGGATAGGATTCTCCCGCAAAAAGTGTTGGATAGAGAACGCTTTTGAGCAACTTATGCTCCTCCATGATAAGTAACAAATATAAGTAAGTAAGCATTTATTTATTTTAAAGAAGTAGCTTATATTAAATCACTATCTGTCAGAAATTCATTTTCTACTTCTTTTGATCGAACAAAAAACTATATTTATCAATAGTTTTAATCACCTATTTCTTGCGTCTCAACTAAGTTTCAATCTGTTCGTTGGTGTTAGGGTGTATAAACTATGAAATTAAATTTTCATACATGAAATTTGTGTATCAGAATTATATTTTGTTATTCTAAACTTCATTACAAAAAAGTAAATTTCTAATTTGTTATATAATTAAAATGAATTTCACAGGTTACCTATAACTTGTGATTAAGACAATATCAATTATAGTAACTATAACATCTAATGTATTATTGTATCAATTATCGTACGATAATCTTTTAAAATGAGACAATTACACCATAATAATAGTAACAATAATAATAATAATAATAATAATAATAATAATAATAATTATGAATATGAAATTTATATGAAGTTTAATGATAGACAGAACGATTGCTAATTATTTGTCATAAGGTCAGTTAAAAAGAATATTGATAAATACCATATCTTATCATCATTAATTTACAACATAAATAATACATAGAATAATTGTATGGTACTGTAATGATTTAGATAAACTTTAAAAATACCATCTAAATAACTTAATTTGTTTACGATAGATCTTTACAACAAGCATAACATTTATTTGGAAAGATGGTATTAAAATGGTAAGCTTATTATTGAGATAATAAACATGTCTAGAACTTTTGTCTAATGTTGAACGATAAGTTTCATAGCGAATGTCCTACGCCATAACTACTTTGGCGGACATGGAGAGTCCATCTAGGGGAGTTGCAAAATCCTGATTTTAAACCAATGGTGCATATAGGCTCTAGTATCTTGAAGGAACAAATGGCATATGATCCAATCGTTGGTCACCGGTTACCATGGTACTGTATCTCCTTACCTTACTTCACTGCCTTGTGGATTAAACCTTTAGATAGAAGGCTCTGGGTGTGGCCCCTTAAAAAACCACCTACTTCGATTTGAACACCCAGGTAGTATACCAGCTCTCACACAAATCTAATTATTTATGTAGAGCATATCTATTTGTTGCCTTCTTGTACCAATGTTTATGTGTTTAAATAAATGAATAAAGTTGGATGCTAGGTTGATGTAAAACATTGTGGATTACTATCATAATGGAATGCTTTATTCGATTCACCGCTAATGTAGGAAGTATGCATTTGTATTCAATAATGTTGATGTTTGAGAAATACCCTTTATAAGCTTGGACCACACCACAGTGAGAAAGATTGGATTTACTTTGATTTCAGTGACTGAGAATTTTACATGTATTATTTTCTACTTAGTGCTTAACACAATTTTTATTTAAAATCAGTGTCTGTGAATTATTTCTAAGCTTATCAAGAATAGTATATCAGAAATGAAAGGTATATATATACATATATAAGAAGCCAATATGCGTACTATGAAGCAATGAAACAGTAGGTAGAATTAAGTGTGTACATAAACCTTGTATTTACTACAGCGCTTTCTCCCTGAGGAAAATTGATAAACACTTTCCTTACAAAGGTGTGTCAAATGTTTGCGGAATTCGAATTCGAAATGCTGAACTGAATCAAATGTGTTGAAACATTTAATATGTGATAATTGATCTAGTAATCTACCTATTAAATTATTCTATAATAGCAAACAATGATTTACTTAAAAGTCTCCTGTACCTTCATTTAGGTTTTCTAAGGATATTTCATTTATCTTGTTCACCAGTAATGCGGAATTAGAGTTAACAAAGTTCCTGCCGATCTAGATATTTCATTTAAACTGGATAATGATTTAAGAAAATAATCCTTCCACATTTTTACTGTAATATAATTCCTGTAAATGTATGATATTCAACCCCTATGTATCAATTTACATCTTATAGAATAATGTTTATCATAGGAATAAAGGGTGTAAGGAACTTTGAAAATCTTATTGGACTGTGTTGAATCAGTCAGCAATCAGCATTGGCGATTTCAAGAAAGCAAAGTAAATAGATTTTGCTAACTCTACAAAATTAATTACATTAGTAGATAAAGATGTTCACTAATTATTGTAAAAGCTTTCCTTTCGAACAGTTTTAGCAAAGATCACGAATGATTGTAAATAGTTAACGACATTTGATATAATGTACCTAATTTCTAATACAAGTAGCTGTCAAATCAAGTTGTTAAAGAATTATAAATTTGTAAGAGGTAACGATGCTTTAATCCGCAATATTTTACCAGCTGAATAGCGTATTTCACTATCAACCTATGCTTTTGGAATTTGTAATGAATAATTTCTGGCTGCTGCATAACTAGAATGGAAACTATACACTAAACAATGCGTTCATAATGATAGAAAACGTTTTGTAGAAAAATGGTATTTCTGAAGTTTCGTGACTTGATGGAAGCCACCTCTCCAGAGTATGTTTATGTATGTTATGTATATTAATTGTAGAATCTAAGTAGATAGCTTCTTGCCAGCTATGCCGAGCAAAATAAACGTAGCACAAAATTGTAAATCTTTTCGTGATATAACTGATACCTGCTCTAAGTATTGTTTTGAAAGAGTAATAATTGTCTGACCTCAATATTTTTATATCCGCATGGCTTACTACTTATAATTGAAAAATATGGAAACACTGTAATTCACACGACGTGAAATAAGAACATCAAGACTGGTACAAACGAAGATTTATTAGCTCAAAAACACGACGATGCTAGTCGAAAATACAGTAATTTAAATGTAGTCAACGAGAACTCAAGTGAAAACAACCAATTTATTAATTCATACAAAACTGAGGAATATCTTTTTAAAATATGAAAACCATACATTAAATTCTTCATTTGTATATCTTTCATCAATTGTCTTGTATATTTTGTATGGTTCATCCAATTCACTATTCCTTTCTACTTTTTTTTCAATTCGATCTTCTTAGCATTCTGCTACCATTCATTCAACTTTTGATTGGTTTACATAGTACTTATATCCGTCGACATATGTAGCATAAACCACATATATATGGATTGTGTAATATTTTGATTATTAATTGCAATAAAATGACATGTAAAATACTCAGTTATAACCAATCACATGCAGCATGTCATTGCTGAGGAAAGCTCTTGCTGATTTACTACAAGAATATCTTATCTTGAATGAAACATCACATTCGAATAGAATAATGATATACCGAATAAATTATTATACTTATAAACAAAACAAATACTACACGGAGTAATTATATCACGTTGAATCGGAAACAAAAGTAGTGTTGAACAGGAAGCATAATAAGCGAAGAAATGTAATTGTGCCTTTTTAATCCCTTCATATCAAATATCTTATGTATATGAAGTGTTACTACTGTTTTTTAGGGTCACATCTGTTTCTCGATATAGATCGTAATAAAGTCACAAATCAACAAAAGATTATGAATCTATTTTGTCTTGACATGTTTTAATATTTGAGTTCATATGTCGATTAAGGCTAAAGCACCATGAGAATCCTGGAAGCACTGGATGGCCGTTTCCTCCTAGTATGGGACACCCCAGCGATGAGCATCCACGATCCCGCCGTTAGGATTCGAACCCAGGGCATTCGGTCTCGCGCGCGAACACCAAACCTTTAGATCACTGAGTCGACATTCAACAGTGTTAAAGTTTAACTTCGACCAATCTGCTATATTGCGCCGCCGTTCACCATTGTCTTCAGTGAGTTGCTATCTCACAACATACACGGTTGAACTCCAATGGAGATCGAAGGTCTTGGGTTCGAGTCCCTACCATTATAGTACAGTTAAACAGAAAGTTTTAAAGATGGATTTATGGCAGAATATAGTTTTCAATTAATACTTACAAATGACAATTAGATCTGCGGAAGTTATAGTGAATTATCTGTCATCGCATTTAATGCACATCATTGAATTATCTCCTATAATTAGACGTGATTTTAAAAATACTTTGCTTACATACATAGAATGTTTAATTTTACATTTATTAACTCATTAGCTTCCATTTGCTCAAGCATTGTTTGCAAATCTATTTTTATTTTTTGGATATTGTGCGGTATTGTTGCAATTCACTGGGAAACCTTATAAGTATGATTATTATTTTATTACATTTTTGTAAACTTTTCAATGCCCTGTTAACTTGCGTCGTATTTATCACAGCAAACTACTGTATACCTCAATCGTTTACAGTAGTTAAAAGACTCTTGTAGAGTATTTAAGAAACAAAGAATATTAGAATGAACAATATTTTTTAATAACTTCTTCACGTTCTACATTTACAAATCCATAAATAGTGTATATGATAACAGAAATATTTAATTTTGGATAACTAAAGCTTCAATTATTTTGAGCTCGTGAATACACATGTATGAGTAATACTGTAGATAACAATCCTCAACGTATATTTAATATCAGAATATAAAAGATGTAACCAAATGTGATTAGATACATGTTGTATTTTCCTAAATAGCCAAAGTGTTCTATATCGTGTCACTTTCGATCTTTTTGATACAATATCAGATTTATTTTCAAATGAGTTTTGTGGATATTAAAGTAATCTCAATGGTTAAGATCATGAGTCACTTGAAGGCAGACCACCATGGAAAAAATGGAAGCATTGGACGGCCGTTTCGTCCTATTATGGGACTCCTCAGTAGTGCACATCCACGACCTCGCCCTCCGCGAGACTCGAACACAGGACCTACTGATTTCGCACGCCATCACTTAACCACTAGACCATTGAACTGGCCGGCATCCAACGGTGTTAATGTCTAACCTCAACTAATCCATGAAATTGAGCGATACATCCACATTGTCTTTAGTGAGTTACTATCTCACAACAGACCTGGTTGAACTCTACTGGTCACTACTTCTTACCAGAACTCCAGGATATACCTCTCGAAGACAGTCACTAGTGAGCATATGTTTTATTGTTTGGAAATTCACTATGTCGATTGCTTATGTTAAAACCTCACTCATCCACCTTCAAATATAGTCGTAATTAAGTGCTTATCTCGCTGTCCAGATGTTGAGCATTGATGCACGATACTGAAGCCTCTACGTTTGACATCTGGGTAGATAATGGATGTTCACTCCCTACTCAGACCAGACAGCTATTCACTACTTCTTCGTTTTAATTATCCCCTGACTACGACCAGTTCGCTATCCGTACTAAGAAAATTTTACTGTCTCGAAAACCCGTCATGCTAATTGTTATAACTTGTGACCTGTGTCCTATTAACGTATAACGTAATGATACCGCCAATTAGAGAACAGTGAATTATCGATTAGACAAATGATGCATAAAACAAGTACGAGCAGTCTAGAGTCCTTATCGGTCCTGCCTGTTAAGTTCAGAACACCAATCTCAGCCTCTAAAATATGAATCATTTATTTCAAACATACTGGGTTTATAAACCAACCAAAGAGACCACATCGTACCATAAATTACGAAACAACATTTGTACAAGATCTAGCCAAAAGTGGCTGTGAATATGGGAGGTAGTAGTTAATAGACTGGATATATCTCAAAAATGGTAAATCGTATAATAACATTTCGTAGGTCAAAATGAAGCTCATAATAAGAGGGACATGAATATGAATAGTTTTGTTACTTAACAATTATAAGATAAAAATATACGTTTAGTATTTGTCCATAAATGGATCCCAAAAGTTACCATTCGTTGTTCTCATAACACTAACAATATATTCTTGTTTTACGAGAATAAGTGGTTGTTGTTATATAGAGAGGACATGTAGATCAGTTAAATTCATTCAATGATTTTCTCATCCAACATTTTCATAATTCTGAGGTTCTTATGCTGATATGAAGTTTTGTGATCGATAAATAGGTATTTAACATGAATAGTGAATATAATCATAAAATAAAACCAAAGATAAGAATTGTGTATTTTAAAGATTTATTTAAGAAGATGCAAAAAAATTACTCAAACGTTTTAGCGTCCCAAAGCATCTTTAAGGCGGCGAATATGTAATTTACATTACTTTCACCATATATCGCATTTTTTATCTGGATTCATTGGTGAACCAACTGGACATCCATATGCATGTGCGAATTCTTTGCTATTAACCAACGCCCCGAATACTCTTAAAATGTAGAAAAAATAAAATTATTTCGTTAGTTTGTAGAGTCGTAAACTTAATACAGAAATACTATAAAGTTTGCAAACTAAAATTACTGTTTTCTGAAAAAGATTCTGAAAAGTTAGTAAGATTCAAGGTAAATTAGGGTGGTTGTACACCATCGGAATTCATTACTACATGAGTTTTATAGTCATTTGCATTGTGGGTCTAGTAACTTAAGTACAGCATTCAAAGAAAATGAGGTTGATTTCATCTAGAAAGTTCAATGCTAAATATCTGTGAATCTTCGTTATATACTGCATTATTCGAAATAAATAGTTTTCTTTCAAAAATGGCAACGCTGGGTACTAGTTTCTTAGAATTCACTGAACGTATTGTGTTATTTATGTCATCAAAATATAATTGCTACACACATTTAATTAGTTATTTTTTTACCATAATATGAATGAAACATTTACTAATTTCATATGCAATTTCAATTATTGTCAATACTCACCTGTATCTTTCCATTACATGTGGAACAACTACTGAATGTATTAAAAGAGAAGTTCCACTATGATGTCCACAAAGAGACTTGAAAAGCAATTAAAAAGAGAGATTGAACAAATTGCTAATTATAATTTCAACAATAACCCAAAATCATATCTTTAATTTTAAACAAACACCATTCCTATGATACTTTTGGCATTCATAGATATATAATATACCCTTGCAGGCCAGGGTGATTTTACATTGGTTCTTAGGAGAACCAGACACCATTCAGACCTTGACGTGACAACCCAAGCAATACAGTTCAATCCCGTTTAACAGAAGAGCCAGACACCGTAAGGGCTTCAACGCTACAATCTGAATAGTACAGCTCAATCCTGTGGCGCGACCACACAGGTTCCAAGCACCCTTGTCGACCATTTGCACCATTCATATACACATTCACATCACCTATATAGTTATTCCGATCAGTGATCGGGTGAACCAATTATGCACAGCACGAACAGGCCAAAGTCGACCTATTCCGCATACACAACAGTCAAACTCATTAATGTTAGCAATGGCGACATGCCTTACAATGTCACAATGACAATGGCCCGTGAGAACACTGAAAAGCAACCACCAGTATGAATGAAATCGGTTAACCAGCAAACCAGTTTTGTGCATGAACAGTCAGCAAAACTTGCCAAAGCAATACCTAACCATCCACAATACCAATGGCGAACTTCCAGCCTCATATTAGACCTTCAGCTCTACATAGCCATATAACTTATGGCTATGGACACGTATAAAAATGATATGAATATTTGAGATATTTGATCAAATTCAAGAAGTTTTGAAATGAATACAATTGAGTTAGCTGATAATTGTCGCTTTACCAATTTATTTATTGGTCTACATTTTCAACTTGATTGATTTGTTAGCTTCTATTTTTTAATTGATTTCGCTAGACTGGGTGGAAATTTTGCCAAGTTGGAATTTTTTCTACTAAATTTCAAAATGAATTTAATGATAATTCATATGTGAGTGAATGATTCACACATACATTTGGTTTTGACTTTTTATTGAAAATAGAGTGAATTGATAAGTCTCCTAGGCTTAATAATGTTGTTATGGGGTTTATATCCCATCTAATAGATTGTAATTAGAACAAATCGGAAAAGAATTTGGTAGTTTGAGTCAATATGGTATAATATTTACAACCGTTGAAGAAGCTATCAATAGCTAAGTAGATAACGTGATGGCATTTAAGGCGATTGGTCTCATATTGAACATCAGCTATGAGGCACAGGTACGTCCAGTTGAAGAGTCTTAAATAGGTTGAATCGCACGTCCTGGATTCCACTGATAGCCATCGTACACCTTCATTTACACTAAAGAAACTGTTCTATTGTTTACTGTGTATGTCTACTAAAATAATAATACCAGATTTGAAATATGTTGGTGAATTGAATCTCCAGGTAAAAATCTAGTAACAGAATAATTATAAATGAACGAAGTATCCGATGAGCACTGGTCCCTTATACGTAACTTAACTTTCTATGAAATTTCATTATTACTTATGTATATTACTAATGTGTATAACATGTAAACTAAATTCCAAATACAACAAATGGTATAATATAAAAGTAGATATGTCTAAACATTTTGATAAAACATTGTAATTTATAACATGAAAAAAACAACAACTGTGACTTGCTTGTGCAAATGAGAGAAAGAACGACTGATCAGATATAAGAGAGAGATTAACATTATTCGAATACTTCTCATATAAACGCTTGTACGTCTAAGAAAAATAAAATAAATTTATATAACACAATGATTATTATAAATGAGTTAATGTTTTTCTAAAATATGGTTGAGTTATTGTTATAGTGAAATATTTTATAAATGTATATATGGTTTAAATGGAGAATACTTATCTCAAAGATTATTGATAGCTTAGTTGTTTTTTTTACTATGAACAATCAAAACACATAAACAAATTGTTTCACATTGTTTGTCAATGTTAAATGAGAATTTAGGGAAAGGTTTCCATATATATTTATATAATGGACAGATTCATAGTTTAAGTTGTATACTATTTTACTCAATGAATAGATATTGAATGATTATTCTCAATAATCACTAATTCACATATTCTATTCACTTGATATTGTTTTATTTGAATCTTCCCATTGATGTTTTAGGACTGAAGTTGATCGGTCTCTTATTGGCATATGTACATACTGTGCTTATGCCTCGATATTGCCTTAATTTACAAGGATTATAAGCAGAGATGGATAGTGGCTAGCAGTGGAATCCAGGACGCGCGTTTCTTCCTGTTTGGGACTCGTCAGCTGGATGTACCTGCATCTCAGAGTTGATGTTCACTCTGATGTTCACAGGACGAAACGCGCATCCTGGATCCCACTGCTAGCCACTATCCATCTCTGCTCACATATTCTATGATATAATCAAATCAATTTATCTGACTAATGAATTATTTTTTAACATAGATAAAACTTCTTTCTTTGTTTTATCATACGATTGATCTTCAAACTTTAAAATAACAATGAACTTTACAAAGTTGATATACAATACAATGTCATTAGCCGTATAGAAGATTGTAAAGTCAATTTTTGTCTATTGTTTTTGTATTTAGAATAATAACCACTGACTGTAAAAAAGGAGAGTCTGACTTCAAATAACAGACGACCTAACTCGAAATTCAGTCACTTGAAATACGTATTGTTAATGGAGTTTTTGCACTGATATAGTTAAGCTATATCCTTTTAAAATCTGTTTGTTCAATCTCAGTAACTTTAGTCTGATTAAGAGGTGACCAACTTTTTACAGCGCTGAAACAAATATAAAAATGAATTGAATATATCGACAATTTGATGTTGTGAATTTTTGTCTGACCCGATATTTGATGTTATTATTCACTTAACTAGTTGTACAATATTTATTTGAAGTTGATCGCCAATTATTGTTCTTCGATAAATAGTTGTGCCATGTCTAACTCAATTGTTTGTTCTGTTCCAACAAACGGTTTTAGGCATCTAAACGTCTTCTGAAATCAGAAGAATCGCTTAACTGAACATATCGTTACAGCAAAGCTAATGTGCTTGATGATGTTTTCTCACAATTGCTTGATAATTGGATAGTGATTAATGTCAAGTATTTAATTTTTATCTTACTGCTGATTGAATTCTATGTGGCTACTAGTCTAAGTGACTCAGTATCAGAAGCCCTATGTTATGATGTAAAGTGTTATAGTTAGTCTACAGGAAACCCTGTTTGACCGTACTATTTTCTATAAACCGACAAAATATACCCGTAATCTTGAGGGTAGTGGTACTTCTGGTAGATCTGAACAATCATCGCCCGGCTTCACAAAAAGACAAAAGGTCTATTGAATTACAGTATGAATCAATATGTCTACCTCATAAAGTTTATGATTTGTTCAGCGAAATAATTGAGGATACTTTCTGTCCTCGATTTAATGTTAATCCGTTTATAGTATTTTACTCATTAAGCAGGATTTTATGCATTAATCTTTCAACTGACAAACTATGTACTGTAGTTTTATTTGTTTCTATAATATTCAAAGTTTTATATATGACAGGGAACTATTTAAGTAATCTAAATACACAATAATAAACTATTTTTTGGTAATTTACTTCAAAGGTTCCATGTTAATAAACATTTACTATAAGTTGCATAAATGTACTTACATAGTAAGACGCTTTTAAACCTCCAATATCGGCTAAAATTTCATCTCGTGTATCGGATTGAAGGGCCTAGATTAATTAAGTAATTCAAAAACGTGTTATGTGATGTTGTGAACATTGAATTTAAGCATTTTGTATATTTCTGATTTTACATTAAAATGCTCCATGTGACTTCATGTTATAAATTTTATAAGTTAGTCTGCATTGTCTATAATAGTCGATCATCTCTGATATAATTAAGACATCAGTGAAATTATAAATCACTTTGTAAGAAACTTATAATCAGTTATTACTTACGTTATTTTCTTTCATCATAAAATGTATTGAAATTTTAAGATTATTAAATTTCCCTAATGATTTGGTATTAGATGAATGTTCCATTGGAAACTCATAAAGATTATATGAAATTCATGGTTAAAGTAGATGATATTGGATTGTTTTCAAAAACTATGATTGGGTAAAATGTTAGCTAAGCATAAATAACTAAAATAAAAAGAGGCTTTCAATGTACATTGTAAACATCTAATTGCACAGTGTATATTCATTATGAATAATGTTAACTACACACATTACATTAATAGTGAGTTCCGTAACATTTAATTTTCACGATAAAGGTGAATTATATAACATAAATATTTTTTTCAGTTCAAATATTTAAAGCAATTAGTCCTTTTGATAAATTTCGTTAGTGTAATAAGAAGACAAAGATTATCAAGACGATCTGATAAATGAACGCAATACATTACGAACAATATGATCACACATAATATGCTTGTTAAGAACATTTATTAAAGTCAACTAAACTGGAAATGGGTTGGCGTGAATTTAACAAAATAAGTAAGCCGGTGTTTTGTGTAATGCTGAACAAATGTATATTCCTTGACAATCATAAAATGTTTTAAGTTAAATACAATTCACATGAAGGTTGTTGTGTTTTTCTTTTTATACTAAATTATCAAAATTCTAAGTGCTCAATGACTGCACAATAATATAGGTGTACTTTCGTATGTTAATACTTATAATTTATTAAACTTACTTTGTAATCGGTAAATTCATAAAGTCTATATTGATCACTAATACATGAAGCTTTAGTTTCTATCACAGAAGATAACATAAAACCAGACAAACCAGTTAGACTAGCACCAGCTGAATCAAACAGTACACCTTAAAATTCAACAAAATTAATGGATTATTATTGATTAAAGTGAAAATTATTTTTAACATATCATTTTTAACATAATTAATAGTTTCCATATTCAGTAAACAGTTGACAAACAAATAGTAGAAGAAAGAGAAAGCAGAAATCAGTGCATATTTGTTTGATAACCACCAGTTTTTACATCAATCGGAATGAAAGGCTAAAACAATGAGCTTGTCAGAAACTAATACAACAGTCACTATAAAATATGGATGATGTCTAGCAGTGGAATCCAGAATACGAACTTCGTTCTATTTGGGACTCGTCAGTTAGATGTACCTATATCCCATCTCTGCTTATAATACTTATGACCTAAGACAATATCAAGGCGATCCTCACAGAATGTACGTATGCCAATAAGTAACCAATACATTGCAGTCCTTAACATCAATGAGAAGATTCAAACAATCAATATTAAAATGAAATTATACAACAGACGTTTAGACGTGACTCATCAAAGTACAGCATACCAGAGTAGAACAAATTATTTCATATGATTCCAAATTATTCCATTGGAAATTACATTTGATATAAAACTAAATGGGAGGATGGTTTTCAATGAGTTCTATGGATGAAGTTTCGACTATACACTACAGTGAAAATTTATACCATCAATTTACTATCAGGACAACAGCAGTCTAATGTTGTATTCGAAAACGAGTGTGATATTCAGTGTATGGTAACAGAGTAATACTCAGTATCAATTAGTCGGTGATTTATAAAATAAAATGACTTTGTGAAGTTCGAAAGATTAAAATCATGGGAACTAATAAAAAGCAAACTATGACTCACATAATTCGTCAGTTTCTAATGAAAGTGCCACCATCTAAATGTACCTTCAATTGATAGTGAGTGTACGCTCGTGAGACGTGGATCGATGACACAAACAAGCTTTTCAATCAGTTATTACAAGTAACCGATATGAGTGTGAACTAAGCTGACATGGATGTGGTCAACTATTTAATAGTTAAGCTGAAAAGATTTAATATTTCGTTCGAAGTACGACGAGACTAGACTAGTTGAAGCCAACCGCTGCATGGTATCACAAGCAAAGTGATTTATACATTACTGAACTAAACTGGAACTTTCACCTCTTATTATATTTAAATATTGTGACGATTGGCTAATGAATTCTTTCTATTCATATCATAGTGAATTGTCGTGAGATCACCCTCCTTTCAGTGATGTGCTGATTTCGGGAATGTATCGATACAGGACGTTGGTGGTATTGTGTGATTCCGTAATCCTAAAACGCTTAATACTGACATGTGGAAATTGTACACAATGACAAAATATTATTCGGATATCACGTGATGTTTGTCCATAAGATCAGTTTTACCAAATGAACAACAAACTGAGATCGTCAAACTCAGGATGTTGACATTTTGTTGATATGCAGAACAAATGATGCTGATGAATACACCTTAATAATTAGTCAAATAGTAAATTTCTCTATGAATTCATTAGACAACTAAATGATATTGTGGTTTTATGAACAATGATTTTATACAAGTTAATTATTATTACTTTTATGAAACTGAAAATTTAGTATACTGTTTGAACAAACCTCGGATACCAATGCCGTGCATAATCTCATGACTTATAACCCAGCCAAGTGCCCCAAATTTCGAAGCTAAACTACCATTTTCATAATAAAGTGGATGTTGCAACAATCCAGAATTCACATAAATACGGTTTTCATTCATTCTGTAGTAAGCGTGTGTTGTAAATATCGGTAATTCTAAAGGAGATCTATTCACATAAAAATAATAATCTTGATTAATTATGTCGTCACTTAGAGGATAACTGTTTAGTTATGAATAACGTATAACAAAAACTGTGACAGTTTTATTGCAGAGTTTTTGAATGTATTGATAGTCAACTACAAAATGTAGTTTTTACCTAAGATTAGATTTTCTACTCAACGAACCATTTGATATTATTGAGCAATATCTATCAATACTCTTATAAAATCTTTATATATATAAAAAGTATCTAGTTTACATTCAGTTTCCATGTGCCTTCCAAAGGAAATATGGTTCTATCATTTTAGAATGACTTATTTTCGCTGTTTAACACTACCTGTGTTCCTATTGAGTGACATGAACGTATGCTGAGAAAAATATAATAAAAGTTCTAGTTACCAAGTTACATGTTCATCTTCATAGGTAACAACAACAATAACTACTACTACTACTGCTGCTACTAACACTAATACTAATACAACTATTAATATTAATAATCACTCTATTTTCATAACTTAAGAGAAATATTTCTGAAAGAAAATTATATTTGTCATACACTCCGAGACTGGAGTTACAATAAATCCAATGTTTTACTCCACAGTCTGGTCTGAACTTCGTCAAGTGAAATATTGTCATTGTGATTTCTGTTCATAATTTTTCGCATTGTTATTACCACCAATTTAAACATAATCATTTACCTTCAAAGCACTGAACCTACCTTGTTATTTTTTTTACTGAATTCATATCTAACACTAAATATCTGGATCTTATGCGTAATTATATTATCTTATCAAACAGAGGACAAAATAATTGATTTTACTGCTTTGATGTAAATCTACAAATTCAGCTGTTTCTGTCATATTCGGCGTACAATTGGGGAACTGACACATGAGTGAACATACCTTAGCTTGGTCTGGAAAATGCCAAACGAAGATAATGCACAGCTCTATCTTGGTAGTAGTCGTGTGGTAGATAAATCTTAATCAATTTCAGTGATCTATTGTAAACCTTCATCATTTTCTTATGGGCTTCCGTTCCCTCTCCTACAAATAGCAAAAGCTTTAGGGATCCAAACGTACAACACTATTTTAAGTGTTCAAAAGTATTTAGTAACACCACTGTCACATTATTGGCCGGTTATCACTAAACATACGACTTCATTGATTTTTTCGCATCCTGTATCGCCTTCACCTCCTTCCGTTTATTTTCTTCACTATGTATATAATTACACACTATCTACTACACAACTTTAATTATGTTTGTTGATTACAATTTTAAAGTCCATTTATCTAAGCTTGACCTACTTTCATTATCTAACTATTGACTAGAAATTTTGTCATTTCATTTTTTATCACTACTAGTACACCTTTCTTCTTATTATTGATTTGTACTTTCTAATTTAAAGTTTTTATTAACTCATACATCCGTGTATACTAAATTGAAGTTTAATGAAGATCCAAATGAAAACAATACTATCAGAATGGGTTTTGTGGAGAGTTTAAGAAATTTTACATGTTGAAATCATCAGTCAGTTGAAGCTAGACCACCATTGAAAACCTGGAAGCACTGAAGTTGGTTGAAGTTAGACATTAACACTGTTGGATGCCGGCTCAGTGGTCTAGTGGTTGAGTGCTCGCGCGCGAAGCCAGTAGGTCCTGGGTTCGAGCCCCGCGTGGTGCGGGATCGTGGATGCGCACTGCTGAGGAGTCCCATACCAGGACGAAATGGCCGTTCAGTGCTTCCAGCTTTTCAATGGTGGTCAAGTTTCAACTGACTCATGATTTCAACCTGTAGAAAACAATACTGTTCGGTTATGTGTATCACATTATTATTGTGCTCAACATATATATCTTCATTATAGTCAGTAACCTTAAAATTTCATTTCATATAGGGGAGATTTTGAAATTGAAATTGCATATTAATCGTTTCAGCATTAAAATGTTTCGTTTTATTTTATAAACAACTCTGAGTTTCTATGACTATTCGTCAATATACATCAACAAAATTGATTGTAGGAGAGTTGTAATAATAGTATAGGGAATGGGAACAAATAATCACCGGGTTAACAATTTTTTGGGTAAATTTTGTTTCATTTACGTAATCACGAAAACATAAAGATTTCAGTGTTGACACATATGGACTTTGAAATCATTTAACTAATTGTTAAGTGAAATGGTTTACATTCATACAACAATCGTGTTGAATAAATGATGTCAGTTCAAAGAATAGGTGTGAATAAAATAAAATGGTTTAATTATTTTGTTATCTGATGGTAATTTAGATTCTGATATACAGATGAAATATCATTGAATTACTAACCTGGTTTAAATAAACCATCTGAAATCACGGAAGAAATACTTATTTGAAAAATAATAAGTAAAAGTGAAAGGAATAGACGGATTGTCATTTGAAAGATGTTTGATTATTAGTGATTATTTTACATAGATTTTAGTCTGTTATTCGGGTTTACATTAGTAAGCAGTGTCAAATATCCTAAAGACGAAATTATAAAGATCCTATATGATATAATAGTAGATGTAATAATAATAATAATAATAATAATAATAATAATAATAATAATAGTAATAATAATGATAATAATAATAGTAAACAATTAGCATCTGTCGTTTGAGTTATAAAATGAATGAAATCTTCTTACTTCATTACCATCTTGAATAATGTAATGAAGGAACATACAGTTTGTACATTCTTCTGTTTTTTTAAGATTTTAATTAGTATATTCGTTACAAGATTTAAAGGGAAGACGTCCAAAGACGAACCAAACACACACTAAATCAGTCCACGAAATCAATTCGATTTCATAGTAATGTGGGTTCTATTCAGTAGAAGGCATCAATCCATAAAATAATTTCGATTAAAGCATATTCAAATCTTAAATAGTAAAATTAATAATTTGTGATAACTTGTATTGTTTTTATATCAGAGATATCATGACAACTTACGGGTTATAATTGTATAACTGAGTTTTCAAAGTGTCAATATGTTTCGCTTTACGGATATAGAATTCATTTATGTAATAATTGTCCTCTCGAATAGGGTACTAAATATTATTTGTGTGAAAAGACATTGACAGAGATCATTTAAAAGATGTTTAAAGCACGTTTTATACATTCTGTTTCCAGTTTATTGAGTAAGTATTTCTGAATCAATGGTTTTGGGAAAATGCAGTGTCATTGAAGCAACATTTCGGATTTTCATTGTCAAACTAATCATTGTCACGTAAATTGACTTTCCTCGATTAGTAACGCCGAGTTACCGAAATGATTTGACTAATGCATAAAATTGTGTGAATAGTCATCGTGTAATTATAAATTTTATCACTTAATGATATACACACAACATTGTAGTTTGGCGAGTTTATAAATGATTTTGTACATGCATCCAACTAGTTGAATTATGGTGAGATTGATGTGTAGTTCTTGATGACCAGCAGATTAGTACATAAATTGACCGGTATATTTGAACCTTTTAAAGTTTAACCTCTGAGTTGCCGAACTGCAGAATAAAGATCAGTGAGTTGAGGTTTCTCTGCCACGTAATGATTGAGACGAACCAATGTTGTTTGGAAATGTGAAATATGGTTTTATTACACTAAGTGTTATCAATGATGAGTTCTAGGAATAACGGTGTCTTGTAAGTTTCACATGTCTCCTCCGTGATAACCGGAGTTATTTTGTGTAGAAATAGCTTATTATTATATACAATGATATATAATATAACCATTTTTCAATAATAACCCCGGGTGGTGCGGGGTCGTGGATGCGCACTGCTGAGGAGTCCCATACTAGGACGAAACGGCCGTCCAGTGCTTCCAGGTTTTCAATGGTGGTCTAGCTTCAACTGACTCATGATTTCAATCTGTGAAATTTCTAAAATCTCCACAAAACCCATTCTGATAAAAATAATCATTAGTTGCATCAAACGGACATGTCGAATTATTTATTTTTCGATAGTGAAATAACCGTAGTTAACTTACCTGGTATATTGTTGAAAGATTTTCTTTTTGTTGAGAAGCATTTTGATTGGAGTACAATGCAAATATGCTCATTTTCGAAACCTTGTCTTGCAAAAATGGCTTTTCTGTCTCACCCAACCAGTTGAGTTTTGATATTGAGTCAATCACAGTGAGTTTAATTTCGTTAAACATATTGATCACCTGTAATACAGTTAAAATTAACCACGCTGAGATAGTGTATGTCATGTTTGAAAATCATTACGAACAAGTTACAAGTGATAAGTTGTCAGGTTTCAACATGAGCACAACTTAAGCGTGAGATAAGCAACTTAGTCATGGCAAGTGGTTGTACTATAGCAACTGTCCTACAACCGATTTCGATTATGGTTAATTTTGGTTAAGCTCTTTTATTGACTTACTTGACAGACAATGTTATTTGAACAGTAACAATTTGCATATCTCTTTGTTCCGTTATGATCACTAGATCACATATTAGCCTCTAGCTAAAGTATGAATATCTTAAATGTCACTCGATGATTCATCCTCCTCCCCATGCATCCATGTACTCAAATCCTATTATTAGTCCTTGCTTTGCCTTGCTGTTCCCTTATTCGATTTAACTATAAATTTGCCTCTGTATTTGCTCGCATAAACATATTCGCTTCTCTATTTCAAATTCGTTTGATGTACTTATAGCATTGTGATCTGCGCTATCCGCTAAGAAACCATAGTTACCGCTTCTCATTGCCTTCTGATTTCAAACACCGCTGAGGTTTATTTAATAACGGTTACGAAGGTGATCGATGAACTGGCTATGCCACTACAGTATGATGGATTCCGGTTTTTCAAATCGACCATTGATTTCTGTTCATCAAGAATATGTTTTTGATATTTAAATTGTGTACCAATATACAGTCTAGCAGAGTAGCTAAATAAGATCATTTTTATGGATACTAGAATCTGTATTTTAAATATATTTGGTGTGAAACATTGTATACAGCTAATAAAAACATTTTGAGTGGTTAGGTGCGTTTAACTAACATCATAGTTAGTTACCTACTCTTATCAAATTGTATTGTGTTACACTTAATCTTGGCAATGTAATGTAATGTTTACAATAATGAAGTCTCGTCCCATATTGTTCGAATAATTATAACAGTGTAACTCCTTAATCTTAAAAGAGTCCACACCAGTGATGACACTTCGTAGGGTTTCTGAAAATTATTTGAAAAACAATCTGCAGATTTTCACGGAAACTGTGAATGTTTCGAGAAAAGTGATTTGAGTTGATTGTCTAACCGAAACTTGGTTGACGTTGGAACGATGTTGACCATTTGATGTAATTCATGTAGGAACGTATATCCGAAATCGAAAGAATAATTTCACAACTGTTGAGGGACAGGTTTGTAGGTGATGGTGAAAGTATGAAAGTATTTTGGAAATTCTCATGAATTAACATCAAAGTAACCCTAATTTTCACATCATAAAGTTTGTCAGTTCGAAAATCAACCAAAGTCAATGTTGTTTAACACAAATACCGTTAGAAAATATTTTTAAGCTTAACCTTTATTGAGTTAATATGCTGATTATCATTTTATGTGAATATAAGTCATTTGGTGTGAAGTGTGCTCTGAATTGTGTTACTTGGCGATATTTTTTTACGTTTGTGTAATTCAAATCTAAAAGCGTGGTAACCTATTAAGCTCCGCCTGTAGCCCTTCCAAGGCTACAGTCTGTCTCAAGCTGAAACATAAGAGAAGGGTTAGCCATGTAGCCGGTATCCCCAAACCATAGAACACAACCTTGGTAAAAGCGCTAACCAGAATAAACCGTTTAAACCACTTAAATTCTGCCCTGTAAGTTGAAGGAAGAATTATTACATATCATGATGAAGGCCGAGATTCTTCGGAAGTTATGATGTCGATGCACTCTGTAACAACAAGAGCAACAATTTTATAGGTACATCGAATATCCGGACAATTTAGGAGACCGGCCGAACTAAAAATGTATGAACAGAAACGAGGAGATACAACTTGGTATTACTCGGAATCAGTGAAACCCACTGGACACAAGCTGAACAGAAACGTTTAGGTACGCTGTTCTCCAGTCAAGAAGAGGGAAATGCTTCACACATTCAAGCAGCTGCTTTGATGATGTCCAAAGAAGCATGAAATGAACATGTAGTGTGAGAATCTCATTAATCCTTGATCATCAAGGCATCCTTCAAAACAAAAAAGGTGGGAATTACAATAGATGTTATTCAATGTTATACATGCACCAATTATAGCAATGACAATAATAAACATCAGTCCTATTCGAGGCTGAAATTGACCATAGAGAAGTGTACAGGAAAGTACCCGACTATTCTTATGAGGGATCTAAATGCCAAAGTTGTCATGGACGACAACAGTTATGAAGATATAATGAGGCGACATGGACTAGAGGAAATTAAAGATAAGAGTTAGTGATTTGCAAATCGAATTGGCACAATATTCCCACACAAATGCATACACAAAGCTATATTAGTCTTACCAGACCACACCACGAAGAACCGGATAGATTATATTTGCATCAGGAAAAATTCATAAGGTCAATGGAAGACGTTAGAATCGGGAGACGTACTGACATACCTTCAGATCAATATCTACCTGGTGGTTGTCAAGATGGAACTGAAACTAAAAAAGGATTAGACAACGGAAAGTATCAGCAACAGCCTACTGTAGGAGAGAATAAGCTAACTTCCGTTTGAGTAGAAATTAAAAAACTTTTGAAGTGAATAGGAAATCGCTTAACCGCATCACAAATCAAGCGCTTACTTGGAGTATTGAAGTGTAGTGGAAAAGAGGGAAGCCAAAGACGGCACGGCGTTGGAAATTGGAAAGAGACATGAAAGAAATGAATACCAACTGTAAACAAATTAAAAGGATAGTCAAGGCAGAGTTGGATGAAGAATACTGGTGAGTGGCCTATGTTCCTCGACGAGGGGTAACAGGTAAAAATAAGTATGAATGGCCAACTGTTGATTACATAGGTGTTTTTGACAGTATTCCAATAAAACAATTTTAATTTCGATTATTCAAATTTGACCACAATAATATCCACAAATATTTCTTTTAATATAATTAATGTTTAGAATGAAAAATAAGACTTTTCCAATAACTTACTGGGTTTCTATCTCTTGAGGCACTGATAACTTATACGAAGATGAGTACGAATGCTGTTTCACCATCTGGATTAGTAAAACGATTGAATGTTCATACATTCGCGTTCACATATTATTAACAATAGAACGAACTTGGATGACGTCATCCATAGTGTTGAACTGATAATCACCATATTGAGTTCCACATTTGTGGACAGTTAAACTCTGGCATCGAATATAAGCTCATACAAAATAATAACTTAAACGCTTCATTTACTATCACTCTAATATAACGATGTTTGTTCACTGTAGTGCTTCTACCAGCCTATCATGAAATAAAACACTGGGTGTACAACTGTCCATTGTCAACAATTGTAGGGTTTTTGTTATGGTAAGTAAACTATACCGCAAACCATCGTCAATATCTGCATTTTGGTTTATAGACCAAAAAACAAACTATATGTACGCCCGTTTTTTTCATGATCATTTGTATCATGATGGATGTGTGGTGATCCAATTAAAATGGATAGATTTCGTTCGAATGTGATAAATATATTGTAGCCCTTTGACTATATGAGGAATTCCCCAATCAACAAATTAACTTTTACTAGGAACCTATTTGGATTGTCTCATTTCATCATATAACGATTTCATATTATTGCTAGGCGGGTCTACCAATCAAACATTGTAGATAAGTGAAATATGATATGAACCAACCTCTGTTTTGTGTGTTTCGTTTACATGCGAACGGATATAATGTCTTTCAAGCGTCCATGGAAATGTATCCTTCAACCGTTTTATACATTGCTCATCAAAATGTGGCTGGGAAGCTATTTAAAATAAAGTGTAATAATGTTATGTTGTGAGAGGATCAAATGAATTTATATAAGGAAGGAACGGAATCAGTGAGTATTTCAGCAAATATAAAGTTGATCTTGATATTTTCCGTGCAGCACAGGATACTCTATCGTACAAATCCAGTGTTTACAGATCTAGTGTTCATGGATACTTGTATACTCAATTATCCGTATACTTGCCTCAACACTAAGTGCAGAAATAATATATTCAAAATAATGTTTCGACTAGTAACTACTAACTTGTTTAGTTATAAGGTTTCTATTGATGAATAACAATTTTGTACTGGTTATTAGTATATTTATTGATGCTAGCAGCCAATAATTATCAGGTGCTTGACGTTATCTTTATTCATATGACAAACCCATGTGTTCCAAAATAAGGATTCGATTATCCTTTATGGTTTTCTACAAATAGAACGCATCAACACTTGGCGTATTAACAAATCATTCAAAATTATCATAGAAAATTTGCTCAGTGCTGATCTACATAAATCGCTCTTGTTATTACGGTAATACTTATGAAGTGATATGTCGTTAAAATCTGACTCAAAATCCATACGTTAATTACTTCATTCATAGTCGTTAAACGTGCCGATAGTTGAAATAATGAGTCAACTGAAGCTAGACCATCATGGAAAACGTGGGAGCACTGAACGGTCGTTTCGTCCCAGTATGGGACTTCTCAGCTGTGCGCATCCACGAGCATGCCTCCTGAGAAATTCGAACTCAGGAACTATAGGTCTCGCGCTGGTGTGCTTAATCATTAGACCACTGAGCCGGCATTCAACGGTGTCAATGTCTAATAGGTCCTGTGTTCGAATCTCGCGGGTGGCGGGATCGTGGATGCGCCCTGCTGAGGAGTCCTATGCTAAGACGAACGAGCCATCCAGTGCTTCCAGGTTTTCCATTGTGGTCCAGCTTCAATTGACTCATGATTTCAACGATTGAATCTACCAAATTCTCCATGAAAACCCCTCATGACATTAAATATTCTTCCATAATCTGGTCTTTTATGCGATCCTTATAAATTTCCGTTTGAAATATATTTACGTGTACAAAAATATCTTTATATATTATAGTAAGTCTTAGTCAGTATGTTACCGTAAAATAAAATTTAGAATAACGTGTGTAATAATTATTTGAGAGTTAATATTGTCTGAGAGTTGATCATTACTTAATTAATTAACTTTAATATGGAAATATATTGAATATTCGAGATGTATATCCTATTTAAAAATCATACATTAATTGTCGAGAAATAAATCTTTAAAAATGGACTTATTCTCCACATGATAATGCTACACAACTACAGCCACCATCCTAAATAGGTCTACCATTTTTAATGTCAAAAACTTCGCTTGCATCAAATCATGATTTTAAATACCGTATATGTATTCGGAAAACATTTAGCAGATCACTTAAAATACATTTAAATTTGTGTATATTCAGGCAACTACCGGATTACAAGAATTTTAGTCGTTTAATACAAGCCAAATAGTTTGTTAATTAAATGTCAGAGCTAAGCAAATGAATACATCAAATTTATACTAACATGAATACGAATTATTGTCTGCTCCATTGGAACTGGGGCTCATGGATTGCAACAATTGATGTATCAAAAAATCCATAATAATGATTGTACGAAGTGTACTGTAAAAAAAAAGTCAAGTTAAAGAAAAGCTTTGATGTAACTAGTATTGTGAATAAATAATAAGAACTGCTCCCTATACGTTTACACCGATCAGTAATAATAAGTCTACATTGTAGTTTTAGATCGTGGAGTTCGTTATCTATAACATTATTGTGCCAAACAAGCATATGAATTGTAAACTTATAGATATACCAAATGGATTTTACCCAAACAATTTAGTAAGAGCAGCAAATAAAATACCACTGATAATTCAGTTTTATAGATCCTTATCAATAACTAAGTACATATGGATTAGGCAAATGACATTTGTAATATACGATACCAATGAGGAAATATAGACTAAATAATTTGAGTTTCAAAATTTTTCTAAAATCCTTTTATTAGACATTGGAAACCGACCACAGAACATGTATCGAAACAGTGTTGTATTCAGTAGATGTACGTTAGAAGAGTAAACGTGTGTTATTTTCGGGTTGTGATAAGTCCCAGAACACTGGATACGAAGTGTAGCCGGATATTATCTGTTTCATAGTCTTTGTTTACATAAATCTCCGTTATCACTTACACTGTGTAGTGAAGACTGAAATTATTATTCCCAGTCTCTGAAGCGGTTGTCTAACATGATATTGCTGACGTAACCAAGCTATCCAGGTTCTCAGGATCAACTGAAAAAGCACACAAGTTGATCGTTGACATTCTTCCTAATGATAATCTAATGTGAAAACAAATCTTTTTATTAGCTCTACTAAAATAAAACAAACAGTGGCCAGTTTGTTTACTTAAATAAATTTTGGAAAGTTTTGTGATCTCCTTAGTTAAAAGGAATACATTAAATGTATTCAGAATGACTGATAAACAGTTTTTAGAACACAATATCCACTACATGCATCATATCAACGTGTCACTTCGATATAAACGAAAACCCGCCGATTATAATTGGCAATAAGCCTTATATAGATGTCAATGAACTTATTCATCTGATAAACCTAACAAAATAGCATTTTATGACAAAACTTCAATGCTTTTAAAAATAAAAATAAAATATTTTTAATATCCCAATTAGTAGAAAATTGGATTTTTCTGACGTTTCGTGACTTAGTGTAAGTCACTTCTTCAGAGAATAAATAACCAAATTAAAATTAATCCAAGTTTTAATAGTACAACGGAACAATGCAAGAATAATATTTGATCAATCAAAAACAAGTCTGATCAAGTTGATGTCATGTCATTTCTGTCAAGGTGATTCATAAGTGATATGTATGTAAACTTGTGTGTGTATGTATGTGTGCATTGTTAAGAATGAAAAATTGTGTGACCTTTATGGTAAGAAAGGATAGAGTTTAAATTTGTAATATGATAGTGAGAAATTGTAAATACGATCAGACTGAATGGTTAGGATAGATGGTCCAAGTAGGATGTATGGTAAGGCCTTCTTTTCTATCGAGAGAAGTAGGATTAAGCATTATATGGAACGCCTCAGCTACCCTCCTTTCTTTGTAGTTGGAAAAGCCTTTTTGCAATATTTTGATGTTTTTAAAATCGATTTGGTGGTTGCTGAAAATGGCATGAACTGCTATTGCCGATTTAATTTGAAGTTGGTTCAATTCTACAGGATTGTTAGGAGGTTTCTTTGTGTACCTAATATGTTATTTGGCTCTAGTCACGATTTCGCGGACTGACTCTCCAATATAATAGGCATCACAATCGATACAACCTAATTTGTAGACGCAGTTCTGTGTGAACGTGAAAGGGATTTTTTCTTTCAGGCGAACTAAAGTATTACGTAGTGTGTTCGTTGTTTTGTAATACACTTTAATTCTGTGATGCTTTAAGATTCTTTGAATTTCTTCTGTTGTGCCATGACGGTATGGTAGCACTACAGTACCAATCCAAGGCATTTCATTCGAATCATTATTATTATAATAAGAAGTGACTTACACTAAGTCACGAAACGTCAGAAAAATCCAATTTTCTACTCATTGGGATTGTTGTTTTTATTTATAACAATCAACCCAATGCTCAATTTATTCGAAATTTTCAAATCAAACTTTGGTAATGACACCTTCAATGGTTTTAACGCGATTAGTTTAATATAAAAATTCAGCTTAGAATAAGCAGTTTTCACATGATGATACAGACATAGTTACCCAAGATTATGCTGGTATTCCTTTTCCATATATTTAAAGTCAAAATGTTATATTCGTTGTTAGTCATTAGGAAAATGAAGTACGTTTCACCTTTTATCTTTTTTTGTTTTTATTACATCACCATATAATTCGCAACGATGTTTAATTTGATATCGTCCTCCTATAAGGATTGACAGTTTCTTGGATTTTTTATATCCAGTTTGTTGTAGTAATTCTTTTAATAAATAACTCCAGTCGATCTATACATGTAAATTAAAATAAAATGAAGGTGACATATATACAGATTTACGAAAGGAAATGTAACAATGATTCCGGAGTGACTTGAAGTAAAAGAGTTTTGACGAATAAGTATGATGCAAGTGAATTTCTGTTTATGATCTCTACTCATTATTTGGATGTTTTGGAAATAAACAACGTTTCACCATATAAGAAGTTTGTGGGGACTGTTAGATTTCGTAGATTACATCTCCAAATAATCTCAGTTATATAACATTCGAAAAATCATGTGGTGCTGAAAAGCTGTTTCCTTATAGTATAGGATATCTGTTCAGTCCACATTTAGTGGTTCATTAGGCTAAAGAATAAATACTTGCAGTGAGATCTGCATTTTACCGTCAAGATGCCGTAGACGTGTATTGCTGTGGCCGATTCTCGATTAAAAGAGCTGTTCACCATGTTTAGGGTTTCTAGATATGGTTAGTTTATGATGTAGTCAATGAAAATAAGTATCTATTTCATAACACATGTAGGTCGTAGTCAACTTCACTTAAACTGTATTACGATAAAAAAAGATATTATTCAGGTAAGTTTTGAAATAAAATTTACCTGAGGACAAATGGATATCAGTTCCTTCATTGAAATAATTTCATTTAACTCGTCCACATGAAGTCCTTGTGTAACCGTTATCTTCTGAAAATTCATCATAAAGAAATAGCAATTATCAAAGTCATGGGTAACTCCTTAATTTTAACTACATATTGGAGTAGGGGAAAGATTGAAGAAGTCATGAAAACGTGCTACGTTTTCATAAAAAAAAATCATTTGGATGAATGTTTTTAAAATGATTGGTACTTGAAATGTTAAAATATTATCGAAATTCCTCGTAACACGCCTTCACACTCATCTTCGTACATATTACTTACTTACTTACTTGCCTACGCCTGTTACTCCTCGAGAAGGAGCATAGGCCGCTCACCAGCATTCTCCATCCAACACTCACCTGGGCAATCCCTTCCAGCTCATTCCAGTTGTTATTCATCATTTTCATATCTGCTTCTATTTCCCGACGTAATGTATTTTTATGCCTTCCGCTTTTCAACTTCCCTTCAGCATTCGAAGTAAGGGCTTGTCTCGTGATGCAGTTTGACGATTTGCGTAATGTATGTCCTATCCATTTCCATCGTCGATGATGCTTTCCAGGTATATGAAGAGTTTTACATCTTTCAGAGTTCCTCCGTCAAGAGTGATTGTATTGATGTTCTACGTGTTGTATTTGAGGACCTTGGTTTTCCTCTTGTGTATGTTGAGATCTACTGATGCAGCAGCTGCTTATACACTGGCTGTCTTTATCTGCATTTATTCGTGTGTATGCGATAGGAAGGATGGGTCATCTACGAAGTCCAAATCGTGTAATCGATTCTGAGCTGTCCATTGTATTCCGTGTTTTCTCACAGATGTCGAAGTCTTCAAAATCCAGTCGACCATCAGAAGAAAGAAAAAGAGAGAGAGTAGACGGCTCTGTCTGACTCTGGTCCTTATTTGTAATGCATCTGTCAGCTGTCCTCCATGCACGACTCCGCACTGTAGTCCGTCGTATGAGTTTCGGATAATATTGACAATCTTCTCAGAAACTCCGTAGTGTCGAAGACGTTTCCATAACGTTCTCCTATCTACACTGTCAAATACCTTTTGATAATCAATCAAGTTGATGTACAGTGTTGAGTTCCACTCAATTGATTGTTCAACGATGATCCGTAGATAAAAACATTATATTTGTAACAATCAACCCAATGCTCAATTTATTCGAAATTATCAAATCAAACCTTGGTAATGACACCTACAGACGATCCGTAGTGTTACAATTTGTTCTGTGCACGACCGATCCTTACTGAATCCAGCTTGTTGATCTCAAAGTTGGGCGTCTACTGCATCCTTCATCCGGTTCAGCAACACTCTGTTGAAGACTTTCCCTGGTATTGACAGCAGTGTAATGCCTCTGTAGTTTTCACATTTGCTCAGATCTCCTTTCTTTGGAATCTTGACGAGGTGTCCTTCTTTCCAGTCCATCGGCACTTATTCCTCCTCCCAAATCTTTTTGAATAGAAGGGGTGAAGCATGTTTGTAGTCAATTCGATGTCTGACTTCAGCTGGTATGTTGTCTGGTTCCGCTGTTTCCCGCTCTCGATTTGTCTGATGGCCATTCTGATTTCTTCCGTCGTTGGTGGATTGACATCTATAGGATGATCTGTTTGTGCTACTTCGAAGTCCGGTGGGTTCATTAGAGCCGACCTAGTCAGGAGTTCCTCGAAGTACTCTACCCATCCGTTCCGCTGTTCTTGAATTTCAGTGGTTGGCTTGTCTTCCTTGTCTTTGACCGGTCTCTCTGTTTTACTGTATTTCCCTGCTAGTTTCTTCGTTGTATCATAATGCAGTTTCATATTTCCTTCTCTTGCAGCTTTTTCCGCCGTTGTTGCTAGTTCTTCCACGTTTTTCTGATTGTCGGCTCTAATGCTCCTCTTAACTTGTTTGTTTGCTTCTATGTATTTAGCTTGTGCTTGGACTTTCTCTGCTCGTGTTCGGTCGTTGTTTATTGCTGCCTTCTTGCTCTTCCTTTCTTTGATCTTGTCCAGTGTTTCTGTAGAGATCCATTCCTTATGATGGTATTTCTTTAGACCCAGAACCTCTTGACACGTTGAAGTTAATGCTTCCTTGATGCTATTCCAGTTGTCCTCCATACTAGTTTCTTCTTCTTTCAGTAGATCTTGTAAGGCTTGGAACCTGTTGTTGAGAGCTATCTTGATTCATTGAGTTTGGCAGTATCTCGGAGGAAGGCTGTATTGAATCTTTGTATTGCTGTTTGTCCAGTTGTCCAGTTCTTTTTTAGCTTCAGTTTTAAATTGGCTACAACTAGGTGGTGATCTGAAGCTATGTCAGCTCCTCTCCTGGTTCTCACACTTTCCATTGTCCTTCGGAATTTTTTATTGATGTAGATATAATCTACCTGGTTCTCTGTAGTGTGGTCCTGTGAGATCCATGTAGCTTTGTGTATAAGTTTGTGTGGAAATATTGTGCCTCCTATGATGAATTTGGTGAATGCACATGGATTTGCAAATCTTTCTTCATTTTCGTTTCTCTCTTCAAGTCCATCTCGTCTCATGATATCTTCATATCCAATGTTGCGTATTTCGACTTTCGAGTTTAGATCTCTCATCAGAATAGTTAGGTCCTTTCTTCCACTTCTCTATGATTGGTTGCAGCCGCTCTTAGAATTGATCTTTAATGTCGTCGTTCTTATCATTGGTGGGTGCATAACATTGGTTAATATTCATTGTGATCACCTCCTTTTTTGGTTTGAACGATGCTTTGATGATTCTGGATCCATGAAATTCCCATCCTACAAGTGCCTTTCGTACCTTTTTTGGACAGTATCGGAGCAACTCCTTGAGTGTGTGGAGCATTTTCCTCTTCATGACCGGAGTGTAGTAGCATCTCTCCCGTTACGTCTTTTGATATTTAAGAAATAACATCTATAAAATCACTCTGTTCTTTAGTTATGTTTCGGTAAATTTCATGAAACGTTCTTCTTCGATATAAAGGTAAATAATATTTCATGTGATGCAATTGTATGCTCATCGTGATTGATTCTTTATGTGTGTTAGTTTATTTTTTATTATGAAAATGTTTCATAACAAACTCTAACTACATTTTTGTGTTTCATCTAGTTACAGCAGATCTGATTTGTGAAAATAAGTAATGAGGAGTTGAAACCCAAGCAAAACCACATGAAAACTTTGTCTTTTAAAACTTTCTTTTGTTCATATTAATTTCTTAGCCTTTCATCTTCACTAATTAGTAAACCAATGAAGTGTTAAAGACCAGTGAACAATTTTTTTTAATTATTCTAAAACATTCTAGTTAACCACCTCTCAACAATTAGTAATGAAATAAATTAATTGTTTATTTCAATGAATCAATAATGAGTATTAACTGCGTAACATAATCTCATACAGTTATAGAACTTTGATAATCTATTGTGATAACTAAAACCGCGAAAAGTTAAGATGTTTTATGGTGGCTGGATTATCTTTTGCATACACAATAGAAAAATACATTGAAATTATCTCATAGAACACATTATTTATTTCAACAGTTGAAATTATGAGTCAGTTGAGGCTGGACCACCATAGAAAACCTGGAGACACTGGATGGCCGTCTCGTCCTAGTATAGGACTCCTCAACTGTGAGCATCCGCGATACTGCTCCCTCGAGATTCGAACCCAGGACCTATCGGTCTCGCGCGGGTGCGTCTAACCATTAGACCACAGAACCGGAATCCACTGGTGTTAATGTCTAACTTCAACCAATCCATGAAATAGCGCCACCGCCACCATTGTCTTCAATGATCTGATATCCTACAACAGACCTGGCTAAACTCCGCTAGTGACGGCTTCTCACTAGAACTCCAGGAAATGCCTCTTGGAGTCAGTCACTAGTGAGCAGACAATTATTATCAGAAAGGGGTTTTGTGCGGATTTTTAGAAATTTCAATAGTTGGAATCATGAGTCAGTGGAAGCAAGACCATCATGGAAAACTTGGATGCACTGGGATCGCGGATGCGCACTGCTGATGAGTCCCATACAAGGACGAAACAGCCGTCCAGTGCTTCCAGGTTTACCATGGTGGTTTAGCCTCAATTGACTCATGATTTCAACCACTGAAATTTCTAAAAATCTCAACAAAACCCCTTCTGACATAATTCATAGCTAAAAGCTAATAAATTGATGAATCCAGTATGTTCAGATCAATAACGATTATCGGAAAAATTAAATACATGGGGAATTAATATTTATTTATCCCTTGTTTCATTATCAACACAAATCAAGTTGCTGCTTAATGATGCAATCACTACACATTTTCTTTGATTTCTATTCGTCTTTCAGAAATATAAATTCCCCAAACGAATCCTTAGTACTTGTATTTGATTATAATTTGGCTTATTTACAACTTCTGAACACTTATAGTGTCTTGAAAATATACCTGTGCACTTCAAGTGAATGTTTATATTATGGTTCATTTTTGTAACTTCATGAATTTATATGACAACTTTGAAATATATGAAAATTGCTCAAGATATCTTCGATGAGATATTTTTTATTGTGATTATTCATTGATACTTATACAATTCCATGACGTTATATTATTGTGTGTTAGCATAGAAATGGAGACTTTCCAGTAACAGATTATCATACACAAAGCAGGGTATTGAGTATATTTTTATGAAGCGTTCTAGTCGTTGTTTGCTTCAAGGACGTTTTTGAATGATTACATCCGGAATCTACTGAAAGTATAATAGAAACAAATCATCAAAATATAAACACAAATTTATTTGGCGTTTGAAGATTTTATGGTATTTTCACTGTTGAAGTCACAAACTGATCTTAGCTAGACTACTATTAAAAACTTGTAAGCACTGAGCGGCCGTTTTAACATGGTGTGGAACTATATGTTCACTAATGACTAGCTTCAAGTTGTAACTTTTGAGGATCTAGTGACAAGACGTGACCAGTAGTGTTCAAAATGTGCTTGATGTAAATAAGTTATCCACCTCAGCGGTGGATGAACGGTTTCCCAAGATCATAGATCTACTAAAGTTAGACATTGAAACCGTCGGACACCGTAAGGTGTAAAGCGCCCGCGCGCAAGCCCTATGGTCCTGAGTCCGATATTCGAATGAAACGTTTTGGATGTGCACTGCTGAGGAGTCCCATATTAGAACGAGACGCCAATTTAGTGCCTACAGGCTTTCAATGGTTGTTTGGCTAAGGTTAGTCCGTGCTTTCAATATCGGTAAATTATTTATAACGAAACTCACAGTGTTCAAATCGACCAACATTTGAAAAGCAATTGTTAACTGTGATTGCTCAAAATAAGGTACTCCTATTCCAAATGCAAGCTTGTAATAACTCTCTTCGAATTGTTCCATAACAGCCTGTTAAATAAAATTTGGAACGTCTTTTACTCAAACTGAAATATACATGTAAAACTGAGTGGATGAGACGTTGAAATGCACATTGATATAAGACATAATTTATCCGTGAAATATTTATGATCGTTATTCAAGATGTACAAATATCTCTTCTATTGTGACTTAGCAGTTGTCGATTGTTCCGGTTGAAAATGACGATTCATTAATTATTCTACCATGTGTTAGATTAGGTTATATCGTTAAAAATGCCGAACTTTTTTATTGAAGACATTTAAGTTTCTACTGTGATAGCTCAAACTTAAAATTTCTTATTTTATTAGAAAACTCATCATTGTTAAATATGGGATTTTTATTAAGATGAAAAGGGACAAATATTTACAGAAGATGGTAGTTATTTCACATTGTAAGTGTGAAAATTTATGTAACTTCAGACATGATATCAATATAGTTTGGAAGTATTTTATCATCCTGAGTTGCTATAATGGTATTAATGTTATATTGTTTATAATGCATATTATCACATCACTTTGTGTGCTGATATATTTCTGGACTATTTTCTGTTTTGTACAAGAATTCGTTATCAGAATCTGTGTTAAAACTAACATTATCTTGGAATTTCTTTTGTTATTGTTTGGCTTGTATCTTCCCATTGAGGTTTAAGACAGCAATTGATCAGTCTGTTATTGGCATATGTGCATACTGTGCCTATGCCTCGATACTGTCTTAATTCACAAGCTATTTGTAAGCAATGATGGATAGTGGGTGGCAGTGGAATCCAGGACGCGCATTTCGTTCTACTTGGAACTCGTCACCTGGATGTACCTGCATCTCAGAGTTGATGTTCACTCTGGGACTCGAACTCAGTACCATTCGCTTCAAACGCCATCACGTTATCCACCCCGCTACTGAGCATTATGTTGGTTTCTTATTATTTGACAACTATCTCAAAATGACATAAATCAGCTTGATAGCGAGGAAAAACTATCGATATCAATAATATGGATTCTATAAACCAGATGAAGTGAATTAATTATGAACATACAATTTATTCAAATATTAGTATACAACTAATAAACAAAGAGTATTTAATCATTCTATTAAATAAAGCAACAATGTATTAATGGTTAATTTTAATTTGATGTCTTAACAACATAACCATAAAAGATAGTGAACTGAAGTTATCTTTGAATTACTTAAAAACTACCGAAATTTTAAATAAATGTAAAATTTACTTGTGTTGAAGCAGGATTTAATCCCATCCGACCTGGTGAAATCTGATCATTGTAGTATAGTAGTGGATTTACAAGAGAGAAATGAATTAATAATGACTAGAATAATAAAGATGATAAGAAAATGAATTTTGTCAATCATATTTTTGTTGTTATTACTCAAGTAGGACATTTTAAAATGTTGATATGGTTCCTTGTTTCCCATGTGTATTATAACAAATTTACTTATCAATAGATTTCAATGAAGTCATTTATTTATTTATTTTTATGTGTAAAATGATCTTATAGATGAGCTTTTGTGGAATCTAATGAATGTTCATGTTAAATCTACGAATTTTTGTTAATCAAATTCAGCTATGAGAATATACTGTAATATAGTGTTTCATACAGTTATTTATCATATTACATGACCAAACAACTTTATTCCATTTAGATCAACCATATTTCATTTTTCATTGATTAGAGTTTGTTAAGATACTAGCGGTGAGTAGTTAATGACTATATGAATTAAAGAATATCAGCACTCTATTAATCAATATAGCTAGTTGATATTATGTAGAACGTTTTAAGTAACATTAAACGCAAAAGAATTTCATGTAACATCATAAAATATATTTTAATGGTAAACATATGACATACATAGACAAATTTTATTGCAAACGTTTAGATTAGAATATCATTATAACTATATTTTACTTTTCTTACGATTCATAAAAATCATATCACTTTGCTAAACAAAACAAAAGATCAACTAATAATATCTTACTGTTTTTGAATCACAATCAAAATATCACTTGCAAGGTAAACACAATTAATATGAAATTCCATTTTTTGTCCATAGTTTTTCATGTAGAAAAATGTGAGATGGGATACATTGTTCTCAACTACTGATTGAAACAAATAGATCCTTTTTTGTTACAGATATATTTTGTGGCAAATCACAAACAAGTGCCATTCACATTTAAAGAGTTGGAATCAAGTCATTTTTGTTAATCTATTTTGTTTCATTGTCACTTTTACGATTGTGAATTGTGAAATTTCGAAGTAACCAAAAATGCTGTATTACAACATAATGCATATTTTCACTAAAGAATCACTGTAATCTTAATGTAAAGTTTTCAGATAGACATGAATTATGTAAAAACAATTTACAGTAGTGAAAAGAAGAATGAGATTTAATTGTAATTGTTATAACGGTTGGGTTTTCAACATTTAAACGAATGGGATGTAAATTTACCTTAGACGAATATCTACATTAGATTCCTCCCCCTATTGTCTATTCTACAAGACTTCAACACAACTCAGATCAAGAACACGTGATTAGCCTGATTACAACGTAAATATATTTCCACAACTAAAACCCGACACAATTCAACAACAATGAACAATCAGCAATAATAATTATAAGGATACGGAAATATAAAACTCATCTAACATTTGTTAAACTATCAACATTTCTGACTAGGCAAACAATCATTCATTATCATTCCCGCTCGCACATCAGTAGTTTCAGATGTTGTAAGACAATCGATACCCCATTTTAAATGCCATAACGACTAACACTAAATATTTTGATGCATTATTAGTGGTTTTGATACATTTCAAGCTAATGGGTTTTAAAAATTTTTAAAATTAGATTTATGAAAGAAACACTTACATTTATGGCGAATATATCCTGCCTGATATTTATTGAAAATAAAAGTGAATTACCAGTTTGACTTATTATTGGTAGAAATAGCTCAGTTAGATTCATTTCTTTAGTATCTGTTGAAATTGACGGTATTAATTCCCATCCACCAAATAGATCACGTATTAATGATTGATAAGCTAATTGAGCTGTTTTCCAGTTACGAGTGAATACGCAAGATTTGTAAAACTTTCGAGCATTTTGTAGATGTGAATCTTCTATGTCGTAGGATTCATCAGCTTCAACATACCCGTTGTTATCATAAAATAATGTAGATTGAAAAAACAAATTTCATTTGATTAAACAAAGTATCTGATTTAAAAAAAAAACGATTATCTTTTATTGCATAATCCCCTATTAACTATTTCTCTGAACATTTCACTTTAAAATATTCTGTTCGCATTGAGAATAACTTCAATCATTGATATTCTGATATAAAACATGACTACTCATTCACAATTGATAAAGATTTATTTCATATTACTGCTTATTACATTTTTATTAAGCAAAAACTCGTATCTGCATTTAGTGTAATTAAAGTGGTAAGTGTTACATTATTTAGATTTTAGAAAATACTTCGTTATGCTGAATTGAAATGAATGAACTAACATTTTAATATAATAATTTTATTACAGTATAATTTACCAATTATTTTCCAGAAGTAATGATCGGTCATTATTTCCATTTTATTAAATGCATTCAAACTAGCGTCTTCATTAATCAAATGATTTTGGTTTTCCCATTCTCCACAAGCAAACTGGTAAAAATCATGACAAGCATTTGAGATAGTTGAGTTGCTAGTGTTGTTCGGAAGATAAATTGCCAAATTCTTTGGCGCTACAAAAGATTTAACTCTAAAATGTTATTGACTATATTGAGCAAGTAAGTGGACTTCATTATAATTTTTATTACGAACATTAAAATAAATATGTATCAACTATTAACAAACGAACTTTGATAGTTACTACTCATAAAGATTTTCAATTATTTTAGCGGTACATAACTAAAGTTTTTTAAAATCTCATTTTTCTTCTCTTATGACTAACAGATAAACATGATTTTTTAGTGTTATAGAAATATATAAAACAATTTGCTTTGTTTACAGATCAAACAAAATTGTTAAACAAAATCTAAGCTAATAGAATTGTCAAACACTCCATTTTTCTTATATACTAAGTAATGTACATAAGTAATAGTGATTCAAACTGGTAAATATTTCAAATTTTACAATAACATAAACAGCTAAATGTGTTCTCTTTTTAACCGAGTTAACGTTTCAATTTTTTACAGTACGTTTTTATGCATTATAATCATGTATTGATTAATTGAATGAGATTAGTTTTTGGAGACTATATGAAAATGATCAGAAACTCTGAATATATGTCTTACTGGAATGTGAGTACTATCATTTTCGTAGTAGGTGACAATAGGCTAAAATGGATGTCGGAATTTCAATTTCACTCTCAAATTAGCTATATTTATAAGTTAGTTAAATTGTCAGTGTGATTTGAAAATGTTCCATATAAATTTCTTATTTGACCTAAGAACGTTCATTATATCTCTAAACAGCACTATGGGAGCAAAAATATTACAGTCAACTATGAAGGTTTATATATAGCTTCAACGATATTGTCTAACATTTTAGTATGTTGTCAAGTTATAAGAAGAGCGTTGCAATCACTGACTCTATACATAATAATCATGAATTCTTGTTCATACCTGTCATAACAGTAAATGTATTACCTTATTTGTTTTATATAAACACAAATAACACTAGAGTAAGTTTGTTGTATTTGAAGAAATAGTATATAATTTGTAAAAACGACTTATAAATCTTAATGCTTAACTTCCACTGTTAAGTTAAAAGTTAATAATACCAATATAATAATTATATAGACTAATGTTTTGAATGATCTCGTCCGAGATAATATTAAACGTGATTGTGTACAATGAAATTATCAAAATGTTTATATAGCAAAAGTTGTTTAAGAAATATCTCACCTTGTTTATTCTTTAAGACAAAATAGATAAGGATTGAACTTCCAGATATTATCACCAATAAACTTATAATAAGTATTCCATACTGTATAACTCGTTTATTTAATTTCGGTAACATAACCTTTGTAGGTGATAACAATGATTTCAAAAGGTCTAACAATTTCTTTTATTATGAAAGTAAAGTACTTTTTTAACCAATTATTATGAATCTTTAAAGTGATTTGTTAATACAATAAACAAAGTTACAGTGTACGTAATAATTTAACATTTGATTCTTAGTAAATAGTGTTTACTGAAGAAGAAGAAGAAGAAGAAGAAATACAAAAAAAACTGCCTGACGAAAAATTCATTTTCTATGAGACTTTGCATTTACGTCTATTCAATATATCAGTTTATGATAAAATAGAAAAGAGATTATAACAAACAGTATTCATATACTTCAAGGATAACTAAAAATTCTTACGAAAACAATTCAAGGTATGAAAATAACTTGCAGACTAGTAGTGAGATAATTATTCACTCCAAATTAGTGAAGGAAAACAGAAGGTTGTGATGTTATCGAATAATAACTTAATATTTGTTCCGATAGTGTAATAGGATGTTGATTATCAGAACTATGTGATATATTAGCGCAATACATTACGAACAATCTGATCACAAATATACTTGTTAAGAACATTTATATATATAAAAATAAAAGGTCTGGTTGAGGACCTAATCGAAAACATGTCACTTTATGAGAGTTATGTGGGCGATATTTTAGTTGTCTGTGAAAGAAAAGAGGATATGTACTGTTTATTGAATAAATTTAACACTCTCCACAAACACGACAGACTATCATGCAAAAAGAAGAAGGACGACCAGTTTCCCTCCCTAATTATACTTCTAAGTAGACGAGAAGATGGCTCAATCGAACGATCCATTTTTATAAATCCGACGTAGACAGGTCAATACCTTAGTTATTAAAGTTCATGACCCGTGCAATACAAACTGGGTTTGATAATGTGCCTATTTAACAAGTTTGATCGTATTTGTACAAATGACGCCATTGATGATGATGTCAGGTTGTTAAATAAAACATTAATGGAAAATGACTATACCTTTAAATTCATAAATATATGGAAAGTTTATGGTACAGTGAGATGTACTATAGCTCTGGCAGAAAAAAAAGCGCGTCTACGTCGCCTTTCCATTTAGTGGTGATTCAAATTGCTTTTTATTGAAACAAAGGCTTAAATCAGTCATTAACAAGACATATTGTGAAGCGACGGTCATTATCAAGGAAGAAGCAAATAAGAGTAGGGGATAAACATCTATCAACGTCTATTGACAAGCACATAATTGAAACAGGTCGTAAGATTTATTTTAACTCGGCTTTAGTAGTGTTGTACAAAAGTGTCAAAGGGCGTATACTAAGGTTTACTGAATCTCTAGACATACGAAAAATTAAAACCCCTCTGTGTATTCGAACACAGTTTGTCATCACCTCAAACCTACTCTGGTGATATTTGCTTATTATGCGAGTGGTGAGTGTTCAATTTGTTTTCACAATTATTACTTTATCTTTGTCTCCTCCTACCCTCTCTTTCCAGTCCATTTGACCTTTTATTTTTTATATATAAATGTTCTAATCAAGTATAATATGTGTGATCAGATTGTTTGTAATGTATTGCGCTAATATATCACATAGTTCTGATAATCAACATATTCTTATCACACTAACGAGATTTATCAAAGGGACTGACTGTTTTAATATTATCAGAATGAGTTTTGTGGAGATTTTAGAAATTTCACAGATTGAAATCTCCACAAAACCCATTCTGATAATAATCAACTGCTCACTAGTGACTGACCTCAGGAAAAACTCCCGAAGTTCAAATGAGAAGCCGTTACCAGTGGAGTTCAACCAGGTCTGTTGTGAGATATAAACTCACTGAAAACAATAGTGTACGGTGGCTCAACTTCGTGGATTGGTTGAAGTTAGACATTAACACCATTGGATGCCGGCTCAGTGGTCTAGTGTTTAAGTGCTCCCGCACGAAACCAGTAGGTCCTGTGTTCGAGCGCCGCATGGTGCGGGATCGTGGGTGCGCACTGCTGAGGAGTCCCATACTAGGACGAAACGGCCGTCCAGTGCTTCCAGGTTTTCAATGGTGGTCTAGCTTCAACTGACTCATGATTTCAATCTATGTTTTAATATTAGTTATAAAAAATTGAAGGAGGTTAATAACAACTGTTTACTGAACCAAAACATATTTGAAGGATTTAGGCATGATAGAATGAGTAGTTGTCTCTAAAGCGTTAGTTCTTAGAGTTCAGACTTAAATAGATGAATTGCTAAAGACTATGGAGTACGTCTAATCATAATTCGTGGACTCTGTGAATACGTTTTTTTAATTCTTATGGGTGTTATGGCAACGTGAGCAGAATTAAAGAGTTGTCCGTGTATTAAAGTGTTTATGCTATGCACTTTTCTTCTAAAGGCAATGTTGCGTAATATTCTGTTTTGTTTTTAGAAAGAGTATGCTTACTAAGGCTTTTGTAATTGTTCAGATCACTTTTTCTGCAGCTATTCTGTGATTTCCGGAAGATTAAGGAAGTTTCATATTGTCTAAATGCTGATGAAAATAATCCGATTTTATTCGCTTCTAAAGCAAATATTATTCAATCACTGGATTTATAACCCATCTGTAATGTTTAAGATTCACGTATATATCATGTTGGATTGCTCAACAACAGATTATGGCTTCATTAATTGTTATTACCACTAAAATTAAATTTAATGGTTTGTACTCCTAATGGTATATTATATAGAAGTAAAGAAGTCTAAATAAAACAATGAAACCATTAATTTTTTGATGTCAACAGTTTATTTTACTTTCATACTGTTTTATGTTTTTAAGCTTATTATTCATCTAATGGATTTAATGTTTGGTGCATATAATTCTATTATAATTCTGCATATTATGTTTGATTTACAACCCCATGTCATACACTGTGTGATAATCATCTGAGTGTTTCAGGAACGCTAAATTTCGTATTATCTAAGACATGAATCAGATGTATTATTGACGTTTTTCGCTGTACATAGAAACTGTGGGGTGAAGTTCATTCATTTTATTTCAAAAAACAGTTGATTTACAAATGTGATTTTAGGAAGATTAATCCCTTTTATAAATTCTAAAACTTTAATGAGAAGTTGTTTTAAGTTCTGATTGAGATAATGATTAGGTCAATGTGAGATCACTGTTAAAAACCTGAAAGCACTGAACGGCAGATTGGTCCTAGTATGGGACTCCCCAGTAATGAGATAAAAACTCACTAGCATACAAAAGTTGAGTGCTACTTTTGGAAATAGTGAGTTTCTCATTGAGTGAGTACCATGAAAATAGATAAACAGATTGTTAAGGAGAACGTGAGAATATAAGTCGAAATTACAATGAAGCAATAATGAGACATGACGATACGCATGACTATGAAATTCAATGGAAAGTCAGGGTAAATAATTGGGTTTTGAAACGTTGTTTCTATACAGAAGTTAAGTTAAACGTATTCCTGTCTCTAAGCAACAAATGAAACGTGGAAGAATAAGGCAGTTGTAATGGAATTTTATACACAAGTTAACTGTCTAGCATCAGCTACGTGGGCAAGAACTGAGCTTCTTATTGCTATTTTTATCATTTGATCAACTATCAGGAAAGACAATCAAAAATATTATGATTAGATTGACTAGTTGCATGTCCAAGATAACTGATGCATTAAGATCATTTGAACTGCTGAGTTCACAAGTACTTGGAAGAACTAGGCAAATTACCTTTAATTTGAGAGTTCACTATTGGTTGGACGTAGAAGGAAGTTCATGGGCTTACTGCACTGAATAATATTCTAGGACCTATCTCACAAGTCGCATCAGACTTGTGTTGCTTCTGTTACATTTAAACTGTAGTTTTAAGAATAGTGATAGTTTTTCTAAACTCTGAATAATTCCACATTATTTTCAGTTGAATAAATCTGTTTGTTAAAGAATTTCAATGAATAACAACTTCCTATCCAGTAGACCGGGGTACGTTTTACTTTATATTTGATAGTTTCATCCTATCAAATTACTCCATTACTGTTACCAAACACCCAACTTAATTTCAATCATAGCATAATGAAGTGTCATTTATATAGCTATAACAAAATTCGAACTCATTTACCACACTTCTAAAATGATTGTTTTCTGATTTCTCTTGAAACAAATTCACTAGCATTAAACCTCATAGCAACACTAACTTCAAAACGTCCTGTCAATTAAGAATCTTGGAATCTTTTTTCCTAAAGAGGAAATGACGATAAAAAAACCTCAATATCCTGCTATTTAGTTTTCTGTATATAATATTCATCACCTTCATTCAACATACATTTATTTACGGAGTTACACGTTGAATCAGATCACGATTTTTTTGTTTTCCAATGCCTTATTTTAGGAACTAGCATATCATTATCTCTTGTACTGTATTCTACAGCCACGTGCAATAACAGTGCGTTTATACTAATATCTGGTACTACTGACTTTGTCGAGAGTCCCGATTGAGCAATCGAGTTACGTACAATAACGTTGTCGAATGTCAAGTTCAGTGTAAACAACATGGTTTACAAAGCTTGATTCATGTGATGTTTATTATCTTTTTAAACTTACGTGATACCATGAATGGAGAACTACATATAAGAATGATGTGATAAAATGTATGATTTGTTAAGTAAAAATATGTAGTAGTCTCAAAATTGTTAGTAGTATGGAATAACAAACCGTGAGACAACAGAATGAAAGCCGATAAATCTATTAAGCAGAAATTACTTCGAACAGAAACAAAACACAGTTACAAATGTAAGATAGACTTAAGAAATTAAGGCGTATTCCTATAAATATTACACATTACGACCAAGAGGTGTTTTGTTGCACATTAGAAAACGATTGATTAGGGTATAAGTTACTGGTTTTCAGAGAGTAGTTCATAGTATAATGTACAAAAACAGTCAATGAAAATAGGAATGAAGCAACACAACTGAACTAATTGTATTATAATATAATGCATAAAAGTAATAATAAAGAAGACGTGGCGTTTAAAAATGAAA